TTCAAAATACTACTATACCCAGCATGGCATTCGTGTTCTTTTGCCTTCACTGTTTCATCATATGATTGAACTGGGAGTAGAAAGTTAATACAGGTCCCCTCTCATTATGCAGCACAGCACTCCTGGCAGCAAACACTATTACATGTTGAACCCCCCATTGAAAAGCTTCAGCTAGCATTTAAGCTATATTCACGCAAGAAAATCACAGGCGGTATATCAGATGTTCCGGCACTAATGTGTAGCATCGCTCATATGCCAAATCAAAGTAGCTAATAATCCTCTAAAAATATGTGGCATACATACACGTGAGACTCACATTTCTCTGCATCATAAATGCGTACGTATTCTGGTGCATAAACATTACAGGCAAGTGTGTAAACACCTTAATCTGTCCTCCTCTTTGCTCGCAGTATTTGCACCAGCAGAATTTTTGTGCTTCCCTAAACACAGTCTCATTTAAAAACCTTTATTTTTGCTCGCAGTACTGCTGTTGCGCTGCTGTTCCTCCGTTTTGAAGAGCATTCATTTAAAAAACAAAAACCCACATGTCATCTCTTTTGCCGTCTATGATGCCTGGCAAGAAGAAATGAAAACATGTTTGCTCTCTGAATTCAGAGCATTAGAGGGAAAAACTGGGCTGCAGTGGAGAGTACTTGGATGACACTGAATGAAGGATGGGTCAGTGGATGAAAAAATGATTATTAGCACTATTGGCTTGTGGCTGCTCGGAGGATAGAGATTTCAACCGGAGCTGGGGCTTTTTTTCCCCCCCTCTCTCTCTCTTTTTTTAAGACTTCTATGCTGGGAATCCAATATGAGATCAACTGAGCCAGTGATGGTTTTTATGCGTGCCTCACTCACACACACATGCATGTGCACATTCCTTACACAGGGTTGACAGATTGAAGAGGTGGAGCTTAAACTACCCAGTCCGACCCTGGCAACAACATCATGGTGATGCAACAGTACATGCACGTGTGTGTATGTGTGTCTAACTGATGACTCACTAGTAGCTAACGGTTTAAGATTTACTGAGGACCTGATTAAGGCTTACATATTTCCTTTTTTTTTTTCTCAGTTTATTTCTATTCTATGTAATTTGCAAAAACAAGCGCGCACACACACACAAATGCACTCACTGCATTTAAACTGAGGCTGATGACTAACTGTGTACCATGTCCTGCTCCTTTCAAATGCCGCTGTCACATCCTGTAAATACGAGTGTACCATCTGTCCACCCGACTCTGCCTTTCTGCCTCGCTGCTGCTGCTCCTCAGCTGAACTCCTGAGTGAGCTGTTGAGATCACCAGAGATGATCTATTTTTCAGTATGTCCTCTGAAATTGAGATGAGTTTCCTATGAGGTGGACATAGGAAACATTCTTTTGTTGCTGTTGTTTAGTTGGTGGAAAACACCAGCTATAAAAGCTGGAAGAAACTTCGAACTTTTTTTTGTATTTAAGATGTTGCAAAGGGTTTCATCACAGTCTTTTGAAATAATGTAGTAGTTTGACTTTTTAAAGAGCCTCTTCTCTCTAAGTGGCCTGTGATTTACTTCTTAATGGGCTTTTATAACAGCAAAACATTAGTTTTAGTTAGTACTAGCATTAGTCTTGTTTTCCTTTTTGTTGTTTTATCTGCAGTGTTAGCTGCATCTCAAAAACTGCTGGTAAGTTGCTTGCCTAGCTCAGATTGATGCAGTCCTTTGAGGTTGAAAGATTTTTGTTGGATGTAGACAAAGCTTTTATTAAAATAATCTGGATAAAGTGTGCCACTTTGCAGCCATCATACCACAGTAACACAGCTCGTGGTGAAGCCCATTCGCCTTTACCCAGTCACGACCTGCCATTTTTACTTTTAGAGCTTAAAATGTTAGCTAGGAGAATCATCTACATCAGTGTGATCAAATATATGATGAAAAGATATGCGTGCACACTCTCACCTGATCCCTTCGGATGATTGCACTGAACAACTCGATTTTACCAGTCAGAGTATCCGTTGGCTTCATATGGCAGTGATGATTATTATTTTTATTATTAATCATTTATTTATTTTTAATTGTTTTTTGGTCTTTTAACTTTGTGAACAACAGATGTGGAAAAACAAGGCTGCTGGTGGCACCTTTTTACTTACCTCCAGTCTAAATCCCCCATGGAAGTGAAGTGTATTTCAAAAGGTTCTATGGGGTCTCAGGACAGAGTGCCTACTTTCTTGAGAAAGGTCGCCAGTAATTCAGGGAAGATTGCACCTCTCTTCCATGCCATCAGCTCTCGGGATTGTGTGCTGCCTTTCTACCTTGTCTGTAATATGTTTGCCACATGCATAAGTGAGCAGGCTTGAGAAGAGAGTTGAAGGCCTGTTGACACATGAGGCTATCTTACAGTCATTTTGACATTTTCTTTATTCACATTGTCAGCTTACATTTATACAATTTCCATATAGAGTTGTTCATTCTTTGAGTAAAATACCACATGATGAACCGCCAGCCACTCTGCTAATGTTCAGATTGCCTATTACAGTTTCCAAATGCACTTTATGGATTGCTTCAAACAAATCATTCTAGTTGTAGTGGGAGGATGGTGTTCCTCTTACCATGCATAGCAGCATTTTTGAGATGTATATGATACAATGGAAGAATCTGTGATAAGTGTTTTATTCCAAGAAATGCCAAACTTTTTCAAAAAACTGTGTTTGGGCTAATCTGGATAATCCATAGATTTTACTCTAAACAGACTTCAGTGAGAGCAGAGAATTTGTTCCAGTGACACTGCAAAGATTTGTTGGTTAAGGAGTAAATATATAATTATATAGGGAATTGGGAACACTTGTACAATGGTGTGAAAAAGTGTTTGTCCGCTTCTTGATTTTTAATTTTTTGGAATGTTAAAAAGTTTCATATCATCAAACTAACTAGTCAAAGATAACACAAGTAAACACAAAATGCAGTTTCTAAATGAAGGTTTTTATTATTAAAAAAAAATCCAAACCTACATTTATTAGATTAATTAAAAAAATATATATATATTGGTTTCCAAGTAATTTTAGACTTGATAATAAAATATCAGAATTTTAATTGTGCTTTGAAGCCCTCCTGCTGACTCAGTTCTGCTATAATTTAAACAACTATGGTGATCATTTTTTAACAATTTAACAATGTGTGTAAGTGTTGTGTTTCCCCCAATACCTCACTATTGCAGTGGTGCCCAAGGCTTTCAAGTGTAACTGTAATCTGAGTCATTTGCCATGCTAAAATAAGATACCAAGCATTGTTCATCAGAAACACAGATGGAAAAAAAAAAGACATAAACGTGGGATGGTAATCATGAACCAATTTTACCCAATCAGAACTGCATCCCTTCAAGATTATCTGTTTATTCTTTCAGCCTGTTTCGCAAAGTGTCAGAGGAAAGTGGCAGGACTGCAACAATAACAATAAAGCTGCTTGTTATAACCAAAGTATGCAGAAGAGGTTTTGTTAAATGCACAGCATATAGAACCTTTAGGTAGATGGATTACAGCAGCAGAAGACCACACTGTGTGCCAGTCCTGTAAGTTAAGAACAGTAAACTAGGCTGCAATTTGCACAGGCCCACCAAATTTGGACAATAGAGAACTGGAAAAACATTGCTTGGTCTCATGAGTCTCAGCTTCTGCTGTCACATTAAGATGGTAGAGTTAGAATTTGGTGTAAACAACATGAAAGCATGGAGTCAGCCTGCCTTGTATCTACAGTCCAGGCTGGTGGTGGTGTAATGATATGGAGGTATATTTTCTTGGCACACGTTGGGCCCCTTGGTACGAACTGAGCATCATTTAAACACCACCGCCTACCAGAGTATTGTTGCTGACCAGCTCTTTAAGATCACAGTGTACTTATATTCTGGTGGCTGCTTCCAGCATGATAATGTGCCATGTTACAAACTGACTGCGAAACTGAGAGTATGGTATTGACACGGCCTGATTAATAGCAGAGCAGATTTGTGAGAGCATTGGATTGATTTCTAGATTCTGCTGGAGGTAAAAGTGGAAAATATGTTGTTTTGAGTTTACTGACCTTGTGACCCATGAATAATATACCTTTTCTAGTAGCAAGATGTATGTTGGTTTTAAAGAAAACATCAGAATTCAGCTTTGAAGAATTTTGATTTATTCCTGTCTATAAAGAAAATGACCACAAAGCATCCAAAGGATTTGGAAGTCAGGTACCATGTGTGAAAGGGACTTCGTTAAACTTGGACATTAAGCTTGTAGAGCTGCTCAAGATTTAACACATTTCTTGTGATCTCAGTGTTTGCTCTAAAAAAGTTATTTTTTATATAAATATATATATATATTATATATATAGGTGTATGTATGTATATATCTATGTGTGTGTATATATATGTCATTTTTATATCAGCCTACTGCATCTAGTAGCTTTAATCCAACGTCCATTCACACTTTGCTCTGTAGCGCATCCAGTTCTGCGAAATGGCTTTTATATCATGACTTAGAGGCAGGTTTTCTATTACTTTTTTCCCTGTAACAAGTTCAATTTGACTGAATAATGGGAACATTCTTGCTGCCGCAACATTTCGGCACCAGTCTGCGTTTCACTCGAGCTTTCAGGAAGAATGGCCTTTGCTGAAAGACTGTAGTGCTGCACGAAGAGCTAAAGCCATCTCATCTCAGTCAGATCTTAATGCATTCAGAACTGCAGCTTTTCATCAGTGTTATGGAGGAAATTATAGGCAGACTGCTACAGCCCATTTCTTCTTGCGAAGCCTTACCTTAAGACTGTAAGATGCTCAGTGAAAACATACCCACACATACATAAACAGGAATGATGGTTATGAAGTCTTGATGATAGGCTGTCACACTGCGGAGCGAACATGTGGGCTAACATTTATTTTTCTGTCTGTCTTTTTTTCCCCTCCCACTCTTTGACTCCTCGTTCTCTCTTCTTGCTTTTATTTGTCCTTCTTTCTCTCTCTCTCTGTTTCTGTGGGTCTGCCTTTTTAGTCCACTCCACTGCACCTGGCAGCAGGATACAACAGGGTGAGGATAGTTCAGTTGTTACTACAGCATGGAGCAGATGTTCACGCCAAGGACAAAGGGTATGTACAGAGAAAACGACAAGGGGAGTTTAAGTGGGGGGGAAAAGGCACTTGAATTCAGGATTTTCTTAAAAACTAAACATCTTAATGGTAACACATCATAACTGCACTGCTATTTATGAGACATAATTATGAGATTTTGCTATAGCCAGTAGGATGAGACTCCTTAATCCATCTCATTGGATCATAAGATTTAGGTGGGGATATATACACATTCTGTTGTTGGCGTGCACAGAGTATGATGCACTGCATTCTGCAGAAGCCCTTGAAGCTCTTTTCTGCAGTTTCTGTCATATTTCAGGCCTGCTTATAGACCAAAATGACTGGGCGTGCATAAAAAGTTAGTGAGGGTGGTCTCTGCTTATGCAGCCACACAAAAAACCTGGAAACCATTCGAATAGCTGTCAAACCACGACTTTATTGATGTAAACTGAGATGTCAAAACTTGTCACTAGGGGTGCGGGGGAGGTTGTCAAATGTCATTTACGTTTTTTCCCCTTATAGACTCCAATCCTGAAGGTACTTAGATCTCACCTGATCGAGGTGGACACGAGAATGCACATGTGCAGTAGAGCTGGACTGGACTTTAAATGATCCTCAGTTCAAACAGTCTAAGCAAAGTAGATGAATGAGTGTCATTGCCTGCTGCACTTTCCACAAAACCAAACTTATTATCCAGTAGCGAGAGCACGTCTGCTACCGTGGGCTCTGTGTGAGAAAGCTGTGAGACAACCTCAACCTTTTATGTAGTGCCGCTATGATGTTGACATCTGAGGCACTCGATGTGTAACACTGATTAGCAGGATGTCACCGTGCCAATGTGACCAAGATATCAAATGTGGGAAATGGTATTTTTACTGAACATCAGCATGTTAGTGTAAGTGTCACATTGTTGGACTCAGCACACATTTTGTGTGTATTTAGAGTTGTTAACACTGATGTTTGTTTGTAATGAGAAGTCTTCTGGGTTTTTTGTTTTTTTTCCAGGGGTCTGGTGCCGCTTCATAACGCCTGCTCTTATGGACACTATGAAGTTACTGAGCTGCTGCTAAAGGTACAAACACACATACATCCTGTTTCTGAATATACTGGGTCAGTGGACATAATTCATAATAAGAAGCTATAAATGACCTCCTAAGACCTGCTTTGTTAGTTCATTAAAAACGTGACACATTCATTGTACACATGCGCCAGAGCCGATGGCATCATTCCCTTTTGAGCAATCCAGAATCAATAATGATAAAACTGCTGTCAGTAATCTCCTCTGTACTTTTTTTTTTTTTCTTCCGCTATTTTTTTCCTTCGCCAGCACGGAGCCTGTGTGAACGCCATGGATCTGTGGCAGTTCACCCCTCTACATGAAGCGGCGTCTAAAAACCGAGTGGAGGTGTGCTCTCTGCTGCTGAGCCACGGGGCTGACCCGACCCTGCTCAACTGCCACAGCAAAAGCTCTGTGGACATGGCACCCACTCCCGAGCTGAAGGAGAGACTTACATGTGAGTGTGGCTCTTAATTTACATAAAGTGCAGCTGCAGAGTACAGCACGGCTAAATGAGTCTGTTTGTTTTAGAAAGGGCATATTTACACGGGCTATGTTTGGAGCAGCTGATTTGATATTATTTTGAACATGGGAGTCTCAATCTTTTTTTTTGACAGGGGATTACAAAGGGATTATTAGTACAACAGAGAGATTGATATGATTATTTTGATAGCCAGCAGTCTGATGTAGAATTATTTCTTGAAAGAGCCTCATATTCACCTGTTTCTTCATGTGGACTTGACTAGTGGAAAAGCCACAGATTAAAAAAAACATGAAAGTCAGCTAGGGATGGCAATTGGACTCGATTCCCATCCCTAAAGTCATCCACGGTTCGAATTATTACAGATTTCCTCGGCTATATAAAACATTTTATTGTATTTATTCATGTTTTCAGGGTGCATTAATCCAATCCCTGACTTTAAAATAGATTTTTCATTATAAAAAAATGCCTTGAACCTGGACTACACAATTTGTGTTTTAACATGAACTCTTTACTTTAAATTTCCACAAACAAGCTTACTGATTTTAAATTAGTTTCTTTTTTTTATTTTGGTTTATTCACAATATTCAATATTGTGGGGGCGACCGTGGCTCAGGGGGTTGGGAATCGCATCTGTAACCGGAAGGTCGCCGGTTTGATCCCTGGGCTCTCTGTCCTGGTCGTTGTGTCCTTGGGCAAGACACTTTACCCTACCTGCCTACTGGTGTTGGCCAGAGGGGCCGATGGCGCGATATGGCAGCCTCGCTTCTGTCAGTCTGCCCCAGGGCAGCTGTGGCTACAACCGTAGCTGCCTCCACCAGTGTATGAATGTGAGAGTGAATGAATAGTGGCATTGTAAAGCGCTTTGGGTGCCTAGAAAAGCGCTATATAAATCCAATCCATTATTATTATTATTACTATATTATAATATGTAAATAATCTGCTTATATACTCGTGTCCTTTATGAAATTAGCTGTTTTCTTTGTAATATTAGTTCGGTTCGCATTACACTGCAACTAATATTCGTGATGTATTAATTAATTAGAGACTACACCATAATTAAGTTAATTTTCATCGTACTTTCAGGACGCAGCCACCACAGAGTAAAAAGGTTGGATAATCCTTTGTTTTTGCCAGAAAGCCCTCTGCAACTCGAGTTAATTAGTGGGTCAGCGCTCTTTTTCTTTCGCTGCACTTGTTGCCTCATCTCTGTAATGAAGCAGATCAAAACAAAAATCAAATGCCACGCAAATCATAAGCCATCAGAAATGTTTTCACAACTGCGGGATGACGGTTCGTTTTTGATGATTCTATGTTGTCGAAAACGCATCTCAGTTGGGCGTTTGCTGCAGACTCATCACAGGAATATAAAAATATAAAAACAAAGACTTCCTGGACAGATCTGATGTTGCCAGCTCCAGATATATTTGTTAAGCCAGTTGGTTAGTAGCTTACAAAGTACAGTTGATATGAAGGGGAAAACTTACCATAAAAACATTAATGTGCTCAAGTTGGGCAAATCTACTTGGATCGCCTTGCTTTTGAAGCTACTTTAAAGTGAACCAATCCAGGAACTTCAGTTTATGGCACTTAAGTGTTCAACTTACTATCTGCTAAGCTTCCCATAAGTTACGGAGCTTCCCAGTTATACTTATAGCTTTTGTTTTAATTTAAGCTGACAAATAATGTGTGTTACGCTTTATTTGGTACTAATTATTGATATTTGTATGCCTGCACCTTGCCTGAGGGTCCAGAAAACAGCAGAAAAGGAAAATAAAACAGGATGGCAACAAACACACTGCTAAAAATGGTTTGAAAATGAGACAAAGCAGTGGCTCTGTCCATCTTTTCTTAGCAGTTTATAGATATGGTTACATATACAAAGAGCAAACGTGTAGTTCATCTCGTGTTTTTCTTCTTTCTCTGAATAAATTATTTCTGTGTATTTCTGACCAGCAACTATGAAAAATTCGTTTGGGTTTTTCAGAACAAAAATGTCATAACTCGCTACTGTTTCTCTTCCATCAGCTGTACTTTACGTCTTTAATTTTTTTTTCTTTCTTAACCACGTGCCCTTGAAGATTGCGCCATTTATCTCAACGTCTGATTAGAAATGCATGAATGCTGTTGGCTCGGTCCGTAGATAGGACGGGCTCCTTTTATTCAGCCTGAAATGCTTCTGAAGCAAAATAGTTTGTTGTTTGTAATTTCCAGACCTCGGGGGAATAATCGCTTCTTTCCGCTCCAACTCCACCACAGAGACTGTTGCATCATATGTCATTAGCTCTCTGGTTGGGGAAAAAAATGAAATTATCTTTCTGAAGTATTGTTATGCTGCAGGGTCATTGCAAGTAGAATAATATATTGTAACAGTGGCTGAGAACTTCATAATTCAGTTTTTGGGTGGCATTTGCAGCCTTTTGTTTCGTAGGAAACCTCACAATGACAACTGAAGCTGCTTTCTTTCTAAAAAATTTGACATTTTCTGTGCGCGTGTCTTCAGATGAGTTTAAGGGCCACTCGCTGCTTCAAGCTGCTCGAGAAGCTGACATGGCCAAGGCTAAGAAGACCCTGGCATTGGAGATCATCAACTTTAAACACCCACACACACACGAAACTGCCCTGGTAAGATTTGGATGCATTTTAAAACACTGGCTCTTATATTGGTGCAGACGTGTTGAGATGACGTGTCCATGTGTGCTTTATGTGCGTTTGTTAGCATTGTGCAGTAGCATCGCCTCACCCCAAAAGGAAGCAGGTGACCGAGCTGCTGCTGAGGAAAGGTGCCAACGTCAACGAGAAGAATAAAGAGTGAGTGTTGTTTTCCGCTGCATGCACAGCTCATAAACATAAAGTGAGAGCATTATATGTTTGTCAAGGTGACTCCAGCAGTGGATTTATGTTAGAGGTGAACAACACAAATCACTTTGCTGATGTGAATTGCCATTGCAAGGCAAAGTGGTTGCATCACTGCTCAGAGACACTTCAGTAGGTGAACGCACCGTTGTTCACACGACCTGACAATCAGCGGCGACAGAAATCGTCCGCTCTTCAGACGCTCAGTCTGCTGCCAGCCTCGGGCTTCAGCTCAGTACAAAACTATCCTGAATAATTCCAGCATTTAAAGCATAAAATGTGACCTATTATGTTTATTTCCAGCTCCATATTTTCATTTTTGGACTTTTCTAAGATGGCTTAGATGGCTTTCCTGATTCATAGATCTCAATAATCCTTTTGATTATGATACGTTTTCTGTTCAAAATAGACTGGCTCCTGATTAAGTGTGATTGACTGACCATGTTTAGTAGCAGTGACCACTTGTAACAGTATATTTACATGACAGAAACCAGGAAGAGTACAGGAATCCACTTTAATAGCTTTCTAAGTGAGGTATAAGAATAAAGTACTGCTAAGCTGAAGTGATGTACTTAGTAACAAATGAGAACTGATTTGGTCAGTGGGCTTGGTGATTCACTGCTTTCTCTTTGGAAATTTCTTAGAAATGGGCCTCTTCACATGTTGGGCTCTCCAGCCCAGCTGCCCTTACAGCAGTGGGACTGAAGCTATTACATTTACAATGATAGCGGGCCATGCAACAAATGATGTCATACGAATGTGTCATATATATATAAATACATACATATAGATACCTTATAGTGAAATTAGAATAAACGCATTGCTGAATAGGTGATTCTGTAAATTTCTGTTATGTTTTTTAACCCAGAAAAAATGCAGTACTGTAGTACATGGAGTGCAAAAACAGTGCTGACTTCATCTCAGGGTTGATGACTCGTGATAATATCCAACCTCATTCTGAGAACGTTTGGGCACTGCATTCTGTTTTACAAGCAATCTGAACGATCTAAAGTTGAGCAGTTATATTTATTTCCTAATGCTCTTCCCTCCCCTCTGTAGTTTCATGACTCCTCTTCACGTGGCAGCTGAGCGGGCGCATAATGACATCATGGAGGTGCTACAGAAACATGGGGCAAAGGTATGTCTTACTCCTCTTCCTCCATGTATAGAGAGTGTATCAAAAAGAATCATCCAATTTCAAAGTGCTTTAATTTCGTGGTTGTTCACCGGTAATGTTAGAGAGGATCGGTGAGTTTCTAATGTTTGGTGGCTGAAAATACTGTTTTTCACACTAATCATCACAAAAAAAATTTCTAAAAAGAAGCATTTTACTGTGTTACTGCCCAAAGTTTTGGGTAAATGTTTCTGCAAACTGAACATTCTGGTGTGAGACCCTCAAAACAATGGTATTTTTCTAAAGATGGCATTTTTATTCAGCAGTCATACATTGTGAATTCAGTTTGGAGAAAGAACTGGATTTTAAGCAGCACTTGTGGTTGCGTCACTGTGAGAATGCTCTACAATCAAGGCGCTCAATGGTATATTTGTGTGCATCAGTGTGATGATGCACCTTGATTTGCTGTATTGCTCAAAAACATTTTTATCTATGAATAGTTTCTCATTTTCATACAACTGACTCTGTTGCAATGCACAGAATAATATTGCACCCTTTATTATTTCACCCTGAATCCCACAAATAAGATCCAAGGTTGTTGTGGCATGTTTTGTTATTCAGTTGTGCTGAGGCTTGTCACATAATTGTGTCAACATTATCATATTTGTTTACATATTTCAATAATTAAACCAAAAAAAGTCTTGTTTTTGTATATTTTTCTGGACCTTTTGTGAGATGAGGTTAACGTACAGTTGTTTATTAGTGTCTCATTTGGAAACGAGATGACCTTATTTTTTTTGAATGACTGTAACTGCAGACGTCCTTTCTGAATCATTATTCTGAGGTCTTTGTTCTTGCAGGTGAATGCCCTGGACACACTGGGTCAGACGGCATTGCATCGTGCGGCGTTGGCAGGCCACCTTCAGACCTGTAGGCTGTTGCTAGGATACGGGGCAGACGCCTCGCTGGTGTCGCTGCAGGGCTTCACCGCTGCTCAAATGGGAAACGAAGCTGTTCAGCAAATACTCAACGGTAGGCCACCCGTTTGTTTCTGTGGGGGCTGCTGAGTGGGTGGGTGGCTGTGCGTGCAGAAGCGTAGGTGATGTGTTTTGGTTGCTATGCACCAGTTGCAAATAGTGGGATTAACTGGAATTGTTTTTGTGAAGGCCAATATTGATATTTTCAGACTGAAGGCGCAGATTTTAACGCAGAGTGAGCCAACTCACCTGCTCAGATCTGGAAGAAACTTGGCATCACGGTATCTAACTCCAGGGTTTCCAGGTTAAAGGAAATCAGTTTTTAATGGGGGCCTAACCCTTGAAGCTCTTTTCTGAACTCAGTGGTTTCATTCATATTTCAGGCTTGCTTATAGAACAAAATGACTGCATCAGGATTTAGTGAGGATGGGCTCTGCTTGTGCAGCTACATTTGGGAAAACTGAAAAATATTCCAATATTCGTCAAAGCACATCTTTATTGATGTATTCTGAACTACCAAAGCTCATCTTTATGGATACAGAAGAAGTTGTCAGATGTCGTCTTCATCGGGGAAAGAATTAAAGCCCACAAATAAAACTAGACCAAACCACTTATTGGTCTGTACAGCTCCACATTCTTTATATTAAGCTGGACACGAAATCCATCAGTTATTACATAAGTACTCGAGTCCCCTTAAAGCAGGAATTTTCCACAGGCACTAAGAACCTTTGTAAAGACCCGGTTTGGGGTGAATTAGCCTACCTGAAAGTGGGGCTTGAACTGCTGAACGTCTCTGATTCGTCATCAAATCTTTAGAAAATTTTCTGCTCTACTTATTTTCCGTAAAATATACTACGGTCCAAAGTCTGGACATATTATGATTGCTTTGAAATGTGTATCAAAAAGACCTGTCCACATACCTTCAGGCCTTTTCTCGCATATTGGAATATGAGGCAGTATTTTAACATAAGTAAGTCAAATTACGATAAAAGCCTGAAATTTTCACTGGACTTTTCTGTCATAAATTTGAATCAATATCTGTAATTTCAGGCTGATACATTAAAAAAAAAAAAAAAAACAGAAAAAAGTCTGCATATTGGCTAGCTAACATATTTAGTATATTTTCCAGTTTTTTAGTTTAAAGTAATAATAATAATTAATAAATGTCTGGAAATTTTTTTGATATATGAAGCTAAAGTTTCCCAGCAATAATTTTATACGTCCACATTTTGGACCATAAGTGAAAGGAGAACACCTGCAGTGATTTAAGATGGAATAATGGAATAATAATCTTACAGTCATCTCTGCAGCAGCTAAAAAGCAAAAATTGTCAATTCTAATCTGTAATTGTAACATTCAAACTTGGCTTCACAGGCCTGTTTCAATTACAGGTCGAGCTTACACATTTTAAATGAAACGAAAGCAAGGACAAAGCAAAAAAAGCAGAAATTCGAAGAATGTAAAGCTTCTGATTTCACCGAGTGGTGGAAATTGGGACAAAAAATGGTCTAAAGCTTTTCTTTAAACTGACAATGACTGCACGACCAATGAAGATTCACAGCACACGGTTATCTCATAGAAAATATTGTGTGTTTAGTTGCTTCTGAGGCAACTCTGGAAATCTAGATTTATCTAGATTTGTATCTCATCCTCTAGCCCTATGCATAACTACTGGTTTGTCTTTTAAATGACAGCGAGTGAATTGAATACGGCATCTGTAGCTGCATTAATTGTAGCAGCTGTGTCACCACAGTCAGTTTATCTGCAGCAACCAGTAGACACACACTCTCATAAAGGCCTAATATGTTACTTACGTTTCCTGTTGGTTTGCACTGCATTGCAATTATCAAAGAACAAGCATGACTCATTCTTTTCAGTTTTTGCTTTGGTGCAAAACAACAAAAATAAGTCTTACAAATGTCACCTGGAAGCTTTTCGAAACGGCCGTCCTAAAGTGCACAATGTCTTCGATTAAACATGGCCGTAAATTGACGTGCGTACGTAGGATGAAGTGAATAACGGCAGGATAACACCAGCTTTATGTTGTTGTGTTACAGTCAGCCTTTCATTAATGTTCTTCCAAAGCATGTGCAGGCTGTTTTTGCTGTCTTCATGATTCTTCTGTGTTTGCTGCTCTGTAGAGAACGTCCCAGTGAGAAACTCGGATGTAGACTACAGACTTCTCGAAGCTGCTAAAGCCGGTGACCTGGACACTGTCAAGGTAGATGACACTTTGAAAATGACAATTTGACATTGTTGCCTGTGGGGTGTTATGCTGCAATCACGGGAAAATGCTGGAGACTGCAGCATGACCAAAGTTATTGTGACTGCAATCGTGCTTGAGATGGTTGCTTCGAAGATGAGGACCAGGACTGTGAGCGTTTGCAGTCGGCTGCCATCTTCCAAACAACATCAGTACATCAGAATTGTGAAAAAATGGATGTGGAGTCAGTCTGCCATCAGTCTGGGATTAAATGGGGTCAAGTTGGCACTCTGTAATAATATGGTGATTAAGTGATAAATAACAGATCTGTTGCCGTCTTCCTATTCATTCACAGTCTGAGCACCTAGAAACTCTCCACAAATACTGACATAGTTGACATAGGGTGGCAATTTGACTGTCAAATGACATAGGTACGCTGCAGCTTTGCTTTTATATAGCAGTATAGCCTCTGGTCAGTGTAAATATGGCAAATGCAAGGCTCAATCAACCTACTTGTCCACCTATCTTCATACTGTGCCTACCTACCTTTTTTACTTTAGTTTGACTGAGTGATTACATTTACTTTAGCCATTGTGATCATTTGGGTGAAGGTCATCATGATAAGCTGCATGCCAGTAACACTGGATACTGTATATTACATCTGTGTTTGATAAAGTAATAAATCCTTAAAATATTTCTGTCCAAATGAATTCCAAACCCAATGGTCTAGCTCATTTTTTAAGGCTTAAATGAAGAAAAGCCAGTGACCCGTTCTTCTCCTAACAATCAATACTGCCTTAATAAGAAAAATGGAAATAGCTGATATGGAAGGACATTGATTTAGCAGCTTCAGTGTGTTTAATGACACTGATCATGGAGGGATTATTTGCTCTGAGGGAGCAGAAATATTTTTAATTGCTCCATTATGGTTTGGCGCTAATGAGGAGTCTGAGAAAAGCCATGTGAAACTGGACTAGCTGCTTTTGGCCAAAAGCAGTAGGTTCTGCGGCCACAGTGTGGTCGGTAATGAAAACTGAAGACAAGTTAGATCGGTTGTCCTTAAGTTAGTATATTTCATTAGAATGGAGCAAGAATGGAGGCCTTTATCAATAAACTGTAAGGGGAGATGCAGAAGAGAAACTGTTGAGCTAATGTTGCATCTCTGTGGGAGAATTTGATGTCCACAAACACAGGTTTTAATTAAAAAACTCCTGACCTTTGTGACTGTTCCTGTTGGTCTCACTGAGTCAAAGTCTTAGTGATTTCTGTTAAATGTCAGTTGGATGTTTTCTGTATTTGTATTTGCATTATTCCCCTTATTGATGATGATTGTTATAAATAAAGAAATAAAGACAAAGACTTTATCCCTGATAAAGGCCACATTTTACATCTCATAAGATTTCCACAGAGACCTTCTGCTGCAATTGGTATCTGGCTCACTCACGTTTAAAATGTCAAGACCTGGTAACAGTCGCCCAACCGTCTGACAGAAGTTTTTTTTTTTTTTTTCTTCTGATTGAAATATTTTGATTTAAAGCGAAATGTGGTGTCTTCCCCCACACAGACAGACAGTAATGGGGTTATGTCAATGAAGAGGGTCCGGGAGTGCCTGAAATGTGATGCTTTGACAGGCTGGCAGAAGATTGTAGTGGAAAAGGAGACGAGCTCGGGTCGGGCTTTCTCTCAGCCTCTTGTTTCCTGACACACAGACAAATCAGGATTAATAGTCTCACCAAGTAGCTGATTGGCATTTTTTAAAAATGGTGGGCCGATCCCTGTCATCTGATCAAATGTTCAGGAGGTTCACACTGAAGTGTGATATTCTGCTAGATGATGAAACCGGACAGAGGCAAATTCTGTCATTCAGGAACATTTTGTACTTCAGTCAGAGCTCTAACCATTGTGACAGTTTGTGTAGTTATTTTTTGCTCTATAATATACGTTTCCCAGCCACTTTATTAGATACACAAAAAGCTCGAGCGCTTCATCTGCGCCACTGACAACTTTGTTCCAAGGGTAATTGAAAATCTTGGACCCATTTTATCTTCAGTTCTCCCAGCTGTGAGAAATCTGGGAGTTACTTTTGATCAGGCATTCGGTTTTGATAAGCATGCTGTTCCAGAATTTTGCTGCAAGACTTCTCGCCGGCTCCTCTAAAAGCTCTCATGTGGCACTGATTCTGTCCTCTTTACACTGGCTTCCCTTATCAACGGTGATCACTTGCAGAGAACTTCACAATCAGATGCCTCCAGATATTAGCGAACTGCAACATCCATACGTAACTAATAGGTCAGTGATGTCAGCTAATCAGTGCTTGTTGGTGATACAAAAGTATGCAGGACAAAAGGAGACCATGGTTTTGAGTTTGTGGCTCCCATCTTGTGGAACTTACTTCCCAAGGACTTGAGGTCTATGGACTTTATTGATGCCTTTAAAAATAAGAGCCACCTGTGAAAGTTTGCTTTTGTTTAGTTCTTTTTTTTTTCATTTTAATTGTTATATCTAATTTTATATTTCAGAGCACTTTTCTTCAAGTGCCATATGAATAACCTGTATTTACTTGTAACTTTTTAACTGCTCATTAACTCTAATCTAATCAGCCAATCACATGGCATGCATTTAGGCACATAGACATGGTCAAGAGAATCTTTTTAAGTTCAAATCAAGCATCAGCATGGCAAAACAAGGTGATCTAAGTGATTCTGAGCATTTGTCTGAGTATTTAAGAAACGGTTGGCAGTTCTCTGGGTCAAAATGCCTTTTTGATGTCGGAGGAGACCAGGCTGTTTTGAACTGATTGGAAGGTAGCAGTAACTAATTTTTACAACTGAGTTATGCAGAAGAGCATCTGTGAAAGCATAAGTAGTCAGACTTCGAAGCACATGGTACACAACAACAGAAGACCACACTGGGTGCCACTCCTGTCAGCTAAACTGAGGATACAGTGGACCCAGGATCACCAAAATTGGACAACAGAACGGTCTGATGAGTCTCAACATGAAAACATGGATCCATCTATCCTTATATGAGTGGCTCAGCCTTATGATGATAGTATAATGGTGTATATAATTCTTAGCACCTGTGTGATATTATCTGATCAGTATGGACCAAAATCTGTTTCGAGCACCTTGTTTCATCTATGTGATGAAGATTTGAGGCATGTTGGCAGTAATTGTTGGTTGTGAGCTCAGGTTTTATAATCAGAACCCAAACTTAATCAAGCATTTATTATATATTATATTAATTTTTCAGAATGGCAGGAACATAAAAAAAAAAAAGAAAATATTTGAGAATGAGTTTTGTTGATACTACAATAAATAGAATAAGCCCAAAAACATTTGGGCAGTGACACCATTTTCAAGATTTCAAGCTTTGAACAATTTGTTTTTCCAGGAGTTAAAAAAAAAATCATACAAAGTCTCTCGATTTTCATAGGTTCAAAATAACCCGATTGATAATAAAATGTAGAATATGAATAAATTTCATATTTTCTCTTGAGGAACCAATGAATCAATCCACCAATCGCCCCCTCTTTAAACTGTGTTCCTGTGTGCTAACCAGGTTTTCACATTTATTTCATGCTTTTCGTGTTTTGTAGAATTCGTGATCTGCTCAAGGGGCTAATAAAAAAAAATAAAACTTCTGAAGAGAAGTTTAATGTGGAATTTAGTGCCAGCAGGATTTAAATTTATCTCCTGTAAAATAAGATGTCAAGATAGTAGAAGAAACCTGTAAAATAAGCCCCCCACCAAGCCCATCTTTACTGCTGAACTAAGGTGTAATTGAGTTTGAAATCACAGCAAAGAACAAAAGTAGCAGCATTACCCACTGTGAACAGACACACAGTAATATTGATATTATAAGGTTTTTTAGCATTATTCGCAATTAGCCGGAAGTATACAGTGTGTTTTTATTGCTAATCCAAAATTCCACATACCATTTTTTCAGTTCCTTTTTCTGTCTGTTTCGCACATCATGTTAACATAACGTTTCTGTTGGACCAATCACGGCGCAATTAGAGACAGTTACAAGACTCGTGCATCTGGGGAGCATCTTTAGTTTTGTAACGATCATTAACTAAATTCTCAGGCAAAAAGAATAAAATTAGATAATATGAAATTAAGTAATACCTGAGTTTTTATAATTGTTTTTACAGGACTCATACATGCACAAAAACTCATGGAATTCTATCTAATGGTTGTGGAATCATTCCTGCTGTCATACTAGAAAATTTAACAATGAATATTTCTGTGAAACCTCTTGATATCATTTAATCTTAAAAAAAAAAAAATCATGAATATATAAAAAATGGAATAAGATCAAAAGAAATCCTGGTTGTTTTTGAGCTGCACCTTAATTTGACTTGGAATTATTTTAATCTTCTTTTTCCTCCGCGTGTCTCTGCAGTCCCTGTGTACGGCTCAGAATGTGAATTGCAGAGATCTGGAGGGACGGCACTCTACCCCTCTTCACTTCGCTGCCGGCTACAACAGAGTGTCCGTGGTGGAGTATCTCCTGCACCATGGGGCGGACGTGCACGCCAAGGACAAAGGGTGAGACACTTGTGTTGGGGTGTGACTTTGGTGTAATTTTGAGCCAAGTTTGTTTCCGGCACCCATCAGAGAGTCTTGGAATAAAGTCGTGGAGTAAAATGACTGTCTCCCTCTGCAGCGGTCTGGTTCCCCTTCATAACGCCTGTTCGTACGGTCACTTTGAGGTGGCCGAGCTGCTGGTCAGACACGGAGCCTCGGTCAACGTGGCAGACTTGTGGAAGTTTACGCCGCTCCATGAAGCTGCAGCGAAGGGCAAATACGAGATCTGCAAACTGCTGCTTAAGGTTTGTCTCTTTCTTAACACCATGCTGATGTTACTATATATTTAAAGCAGACTCAGTTTAAGATAAGACGGCCCAGTGTTTTTGCACCAAGTTTGAATTAGAGGAGGAAATCACCTCCAGAACCACCAAGCGTGGTAAGATCTTCATTGGATCTCATTGGATGTCAGGTTTCTGATATTTATGGCCCATGTGAAAAGAAATCCAACTCTCTGAGCCCAAATGCAACATCAACAGACCCGTTGAGAGAACTAAATGTTCAGGAGTGTTTATGCAGTGAATGGTCGTTGGCACAAGTGCAAAACGGCTTGCCCTCGAGTTGCAATAATCACACGAGTGCCACAGCTCTCTCCGTCACTGTCTCCCATGGGTATGTCTGAATGAAGCCATGAGCCATTAATTTCTTAATGACCGAATGCCACTTCTGTGACACATACCATGTCTGAGAAGGGCTTAATTGTGCCATTTGCTGTGACCTCACATTGCTCCTTTTCATACTGAAGCCTGTGGGATAGAAATATTTAATTTTTGATGCAGCTTTAATGTTCTGTAAACAAGCACTTTATCCTTCTCCAGACAAGTTCACCAAACAGTGTTTACAAGACGCGGTGAGCCAGGGCTCAGCGAAACTCAGAAATCAGTCATGTCTACGGAAGCAAGAGCTGGCAATGAAATGATAGCACATGTGTTACTAATGCAATTAATGGCATCTGGTGCTGTGAATGCCTTGTGAATAATGGGTGTAAGTCAGCATGTACAAATCAACGTTATGGAGCCGAGGTTTTTCCAGGATTGGCATTTGGAAAATTGGGTGCAAACACTCACTGAAAGGTATGACTTGTGCTCTGTGCGAGTTTTGAACCCGGCCGGGATCAACTCCGACCAATCCAATTACAAAGCTGAAAATATCTGTTGTGTAACACTGAATTGTCACATCTCTTTGAGGCTAAATGAATCCTGTGAAATGTTGCAGTTTCACAGCTGAATGCATTTTTGTTTTTCCTATCACAAACACCTCCAGACGAGGTTACGTCACCGCTTTGCCGTTGCCATATGGGGCAGCATAAATTATTAGATGAACACAGTTGAATTCACACACACACACACACGGTAAACGCAGCACACGGAAAAACAAGAGAAATTCATTACTTTATTCATAATTACATATTGACTGTATAAAGTAGTTTGTAACAGATGTACTTAGGAGTATTAAAGGATGATTAAAAATAAATGGAAAAGAAAACAATGAATTATGAGATAAACGTCCTACACAGCTTGTACGAGGTAGTGACACAGTTGTGTGAGCAGACAGCAGCGTAAAACACAAAAGAAGTGTAAGATTGTCGTGGTCAGGCTGTGAAACTGATACACAGCAGTGTTCACTGAAAACTTTGGGACTAAGAGGTGCGACAGTGCAGCAGAGGTATCAGTGATGGTGGAGGGGAGTGGCTGTTGTGTGGAGTATTAGGGAAGGTGACAGCTCTGGGGAGAAATTAGCTTGTCGGTCTGGCTGTGCAGGAGTACAGAGAGGTGCAGACTAAATATGCACTGCCTGGTGCAGTGTGAGAAATGGTGAATGATTTCCTTCCTTGGGGCGGTGGCATTTATCGGTTTGCATTATATTGAATAAACTGACCTCGCTTGCAATAAAAACTTGTTTAAGTAATTAATCTAACAAAAAAGGTCAAATTATCTGGTTCCAGAAGAATGAGCGCTTCTCCATATATCAGTTTATGAAATGTTTTTGTGTTTGGTGTCCAGCAAAACAAGCAATGGAGAAAAAAAAGATGTTTACTTTTACCACCGAGCATTAAATGTGAATACTAAGGGAAAAAAGTATGAGAAATGGCACTTTACTTTCCCAGGCTTTGGGGAGCCAACAATTTGATCCTATCTCAGCTGCATAATCTGCAGATTTAAGCCATGTATGAGAAGGAGAGAAGACCCAGAACGCTTCCCTGTGGTGCTCCTTTTGCTTGAAATTAGGGAAAGCAGAGGATTGAGTTCTTAGCCACTAGCTGGTCACTCTGTGGTCTGCTGATTAAGAGTCCAAACCAGTCTACACTCTTGTGTTTTTAGGGCCAAATTATAGAGGCTGCTTTGCTCATAAAACTGTGATAATGCTGAAGTATTCTTACACACTGATATTACGTCACAATAGTTCAGACCTTTAGCAGTTCACAGCTTCACTTGACTGAGGATGAGTTGCGAATTAAATGGAAAAACCTTGGGCCAGCAGGTCAGGGGGCAGAGACATCAATAGAGAGTTTTTGATTATTTCCAGCCAGCCCAATGTTTACTGCACCTCATTCCTCTGCTCCCCACACTTCTCCTTACTAATGAGGGCAAAATACCAAAAAATAGCATGAAAGAAGAAAGTGAAGGAAAATCTGCAATAATTGAGCTGCAGGTTACAGAATACAGAAAGAAATTCTATATCACACACCAGTTAAACACTTTCAGTGCTCTTCAATGTCATTATTGGAATTGTGAGTTGAGATTTGAAGCCGTCCTGAGCTTAAAGCACAAAGAAACTTTATGCTGTTTTCACTCAATTTTCCATCTGCTGTGCAGCTCTAACTCCAGGTAAAGATGTTTAAGACCAGTGCTGCTGCAGTTGATCACCACATGTCCAGGAACACCATCTGCTTCAGCAGCTTTATTTGTGTTCAGCCACCATAAGGTTTTCTTTTGTCTTTGTGGGAGTTTATTAGAAGTGATTGTTCTTTTTTTTGTCTGGTGTAAATTCAGTGATGGAGGCTTTTTTTTTCTTCAGCAGAGATGTTTTGTTGGGTTTTTTCTCGCTATATATATTAAAGTGAGGCTTTCTTTACGGCTTATTAAAGGCTGTTGCTTTTATCGTTAGACTCATTATTAGATATGCAGCACCAAATGAAATGCTTTTCTCACTTGTAAGTGTGAAGCCTCGCACAGACTCGTGTGTAGACAAATCCCAGTCAGCTCAAAAAGCAAATGGAGTTCAGAGATACAGCATCTCCCTCAGGCCACACTTCTTTCTTTTTTTTCCCCTGATCTCATGGTTGGTCTTTGGCTTTGGAGGCAGAGGTTAGAGACACACAAACGGATGATTGATTGTAGGAGGTTCGTATTGTTTTCCCACTCTGGTTAGAAGCATTCTCATAGTGGCAAATTTCAGCATGTTGTTGCATTTCTTGTTTACACACGTTAGTACTCTCGACTCTCCCTTTAACACACTTGTGCACAGAAGTAAGACAGTGTTCCCGCACTTTGGTGTTAATCTGCCGAGGCCTCGGGATGTGATTGATCTCTCTTGTGGAGTTCAACACTAGATTTTTCCGTTGTCTTCTCTGTTTGTTGTTAACTTTCTATTATCCTGCTTTTGTGCAGGATTTTTGCTCAAATTAAAACTCCGCTGCATCCTCCCTGTACCCAGATAGTTTCTGAGGAATGGGTCTTGTAAGACATGCAAAATGCACATTAGCATCATCGTTGTTGGTGAAGACGTGTGAGAGGATAATGAATTTCAGCTCAATTTAAGTATAATCTACTTCATTAGCACTTGGCATGCAGTTTGTGAACTCGAGTGAGTTATGAAGGTCTGATGCTAATATGCAACATCATTTTGGAAAAGACCAACTGTCAGTCAGGCTGTGACATTTTTATGCTTGGAGTTTCCTTTGATGATATTCGAGTTCTTTAAGGATGTCCTCTTGTTCAGTCGTGATTGCTTTTGTAATAAACCAAGTATTTGTAGCCTCGGGTCACATGTCTGAAGCTGGAGAGCTGTTCCTCTGACCTTGGGTTGTTCAATGGATTTTAAGTCAGAATGAAAGCACCAAAAAAATATCCCTCCACGCAATTAAATCACCAGCCTGAACTGTTGATATAATGGATTTCTGCTTTGAGGTTGTATATGCCAAATTCTGTTCCTACAGTCTGAATGTCACAGAAGAAACTGAGACTTATCTGATCAGGCAGTCTTGTTTTTTCCTCTATCATCCAATTTTGGTAAAACTGTGCCAACCATAGCCCCAGTTTTGGCCTCAACTGTCAGGAGACACTTGCATTGAAGGTTCAACGCTCCTCTGCATACTTTAGCTGTAATGAATGGTTATTTTAAGTAAGTGTTGCCTTTTATGCCAGCTCAAAGCAGTCTGGCCATTTCCCTCTGAACTCTGGTATCGACAAAGCATTTCCGTCCAGGTAATTGACTGGATATTTTCTATTTTTGGACCATTCACTGTAAACCATAGAGATGGTTGTTAAAGAGAAAAATCCCAGTGGGTCAGCAGTTTCTGAAATATTCAGACCAGTCTGTCTGGCACCAGCACCCATGTCACGCTCAAAATCACCTTTCTTCCCCACTCTGATGCTGGTTTGAACCTCAGCAGGTCGTCGTAACCATGTGTACATGCCTAAATGTAGTGAGTAGCTGCCATGTGATTGGCTGATTAGCTATTTGGGGTACTGGGTAGTATAATAATTGGTTGGAAAGTTCAGTGACAATGATGTTAAATAACAAGGCAAAGAAACAGAGATAAGAATCACAGACAGTAGCTGCAGACAACAGTTTCTGTTGTTCTTTCAGAGTTAATTTAACTTCACTTAAAAGAAGCTCTTTGTCTTTTCTGACTTGTGTGATGTGCTTTAACATGGGTCTACAAAGACTACCAAGCAGATTCTTGCCAGGAGCTTTTGGTGGCTTAATTAAGCCAAGCCTTCACGAAAAAAAACTACGAAAAAAATCTTCTAAATGTTCCTGTAGCTACACAATAAAGTTAATATTTCATACAAATCCAGACATATATTGGATGCTGTAATTACAATTTTACCTTCAAGGACTTGTAATAATGTAGCCAGCAACATTTTACTTTAAATGCTCAGTTGATTTCATTCGATGTCCCAATCTGAGCCTGTTAGCAGACTACACCGTGGCGATCAACTTGTTAAAATCACACCTGCTAAAATGAGCTTGTTTTTGGACATTTTTGAGAACACTGGAGCTTCAATAAGCTGCTAGTATAGCGTTTCATTTGTAAGCAGATACGAAAAATTGTAAATTGCATTTCCTATGAGAAAGATAATGGTTCTTGAAAGGTCGACTATCTTTTTTCCCTTTTTGTATCTATGTAAATGTCCCCAATTATTTCTAGTCTAATTTTCATGAGAGTGTGAGTGAGTGACAGCAGTGAAGAGATAATGGAAATTGAGGAGCAGGAGAGAAAAAAACCTCATGAGAGGGAAAGGTTCAGACTACTTTGAATAGAGGGATAGAGAGCCATGAGAGAGATTTCTATAAAGGACCGTTTCAGACCAGCAGTGGATACCCAGGGGAGTGGTCCCACAACATCCAATTTTAATGAGCGGATTTCAAAACTTACAATGAAATGACAAGTTGAGCCACAACCTAGGAGACAGCTGAGCGATGAAAATGTCTGCTTTCCCCTCGTCCCCCGGGGTATGTGGTGTTTTCCACTTCACTGGGTGTCCTGTCCTCACCTCTCTCTACCTCCCTTTCGTTTCCACCTCCTCTCTTCTGCTCTCCGGTGAATTACCTTCATCCATCCTCTTCTCACTCGTCACTTGTCATCATTTCTTACTCGTCTAAGTGAAACGCTTCCAGCGGGTTCAGATTGTTCAGAGTGTGGAGGACTGTTTCTTCTTGTTTGTTTAATGTCCATGTAAAAGAAAAGTATCTAATCAGTATAGCAGTATTCAGTCTTTTAATTGTGGTGTTGTCATGAGACTTAAATCCTCTACATTTCTTATCTATTTTGCTGTCTTTGTTGTGAGCTTTAACAGCTTTTTATTGGAGATGGATCAGATTTTTCCATTTATTTGCCCATCAAACAAACAAGGTTTTTTCCAGTGTTTTCTTTAATAATCAGGGTAGGGCTGGGCGATATGGCCTAAAATCAATATCACGATAAATTGAGCAGTTAACCTCGATAACGATAAATGGACGATAACCACCCCAAGTGCCAAAAAAACAAACGTTTTTTTTTTTTTTTCATTTGATGGGGCTGTGGCAGGCAGCATAGTTCCTCCAGTTATTTTGATAATATTATTCCCCCTAGACCTATTCATTGCAATTATATTATTACCACTTTAAAGGACTGTAAAATGTCACTGAAAATAAATGAAGACAATAGTAGTAAGTACTTTTAGTGGTTAAGATTTATTAACTGAACAAAATAAAAAGTGTAGGATACAATATGTAACCATGCTCTCTAAAAAATGTGTATCCCTTGTAAACAAAATAGTTTAATAATAAATATGTTTCACATTGGCTATTCACAAAGTAAACAATGATTGTGCAAATGTAATGCCATCATGGACAAAGGCCTATCTCTGCTAAGGCCTTGAGGTACTATAACTTGTAAACAAATAATGTCACAAACACAAATGTCAATTGAACACAGAAAAAACTATAATAAATACTAAGCACTGCCATGTGACTAGTGAAAACTATAAACTCTTAAACAAAAACATTGTGCTGCTGTGTGAAAACCTTACTAGAACACTGATAGTTAAAATTAGGCAGGGCTTGAACAGGGCACTTCAAAAAGGGGCAGCAGCAGACTTGGTATCCTGAGCGGTTCAATCAAACTACTGTTGTAGATGTTTACCTGAGTAGTGTTTACTCCAGGTTCTTGCTAAGAAACACAAGCATATTGACCATGTCAGGTTTCAGGCAGGATCTGAGGCATGTCACAATGTTTCCTCCAGAACTGAAAACCCGCTCGGATGGGGAGCTGGTGGCTGGGATGCAAAGATACGTTTTTGCAACTTTACTTAGAGTGGGAAAGTTTACTTGATGCTTTCTCCACCAATCTAGTGGATTTTCCTCAAACATTATTCAAACATTAATACTTTCAATTTTGAATATGACGCACAGAATTAAAGTCACTTTAAAACACACCAGATGTCACCACCCAAATATATTAAGATGTACACACTTACCAATTGCCAGGTGCAGCCTGTGCCCAAAACATTGCACCCGTGTCCATTTATTGAGCTTGACAGCTTTCACAATATTTGGGCCGTTGTCAGTTGTTATAGCAACAAGGTCCTCTTCACTGATGTCCCATGCAGACAGCATCGCTCTCAACCCCTGTCCAACCATCTCCCCCGTGTGATCAGATGGAAAATAGGCCGTCTCGAGCACTCTGGTACGCAGCTCCCATTTGTTGTCGATGTAATGAACTGTGAGACTAATATACGGCTCCATTGTACGGCTGGACCAGAGATCGGATGTGGCTGCAACGTGCTTAACGTATCTCAATTCAGCAGCAACCTTTTCCCTCTCTGTGCTGTACATGCTGGGAATGATAGTTTTTGAAAAATATTTTCGTGATGGGAGTTCGTATCTCTTGTCAATTATTTTCATGAAGTGTCTGAACCCGTTGCGTTCCACTGTAGCAATAGGAGCCATGTCTTTTGCTATGTGGTAGCCTATAGCATTTGTGATTTCTTGCCATCTTTTTGAAGTTCGCTCATATAGTTGAGTACTAGCAAATGCTTCGGTTATTGACCGCTGCCTGGTGGAGGAAGACGTTTTTGCTGGTCCTCCTACTCTCTTCTCGCTTTGAGCTTTTTTTATGTCTTCGAATTGAATCACATGGTTGTGCTGCAGGTGGTGGAAGAGGTTGGTTGTGTTACCTTGACTTGACGCAACAGTCTTTTTGCAGAGTTTACATTTAACAATTTTTTGATCAATATCATCCTTGTTGAATCCAAAATGTTGCCAAACGATTGATGATGCATTTTTTTTGTTAACAAGCGTCTCCTCTTCCTCCTCCACCAGCTCTACCTCCGTCGCTGCTGCTTCAACATTTAAATCGTCCTCCATTTGTTCACCCGTGTCTCGTCTTGTTACAGGTAGTAGAGTCATGTGACTCCACCCCGTCAAGTCTGTAACGTAGCACAGCGTCTTAAAGGGACATGAACATCGCCAACCTGCACATGCCTTTTCTTTTTTTTTTAAATACCGAATTTACCGACATGGGCAAAATGACGTCGATGAGAGTCATAAATTTCGGTAACGATAAATTTTTGATATATCGCCCAGCCCTAAATCAGGGTATACTTAAAAAAATGACAATTGCCAATTGTCCTCTCATGATGATGGGGTGGGGGGTTGTCTGCACTCAGTGTCATGGCAACCAAGCGTACGTTATAAATATCTTCATCCTTAGCCGTGAGTTTGCCCAGATACAATGTGACAAATTAATATCTCCGTTCCAAACATGCTGCTCATTTCCTTAGAAATCACTTGCCAGAACGAATTAAAGGGCGAGCGTGCACTGTATTAAAATGACCTGTCATTGATTAACCACACAGCCTCCAACATTCATCCTGCTCCCGACTGCAGCCGCCGTCTTGTTTAATGATGTCGGCGTGCACTTTCACACACCGGATAAATATCTCTAGAACACATCTGCCCGTATTTTTCCCCATCTTTCTTTTCCTTGTGTAACTCCCCCTTTTATGGCCTCCTCTCTCCAGCACGGAGCAGACCCCACTAAGAAGAACAGGGACGGCAACACCCCTCTGGACCTGGTGAAGGACGGGGACACGGACATCCAGGACCTGCTCAGAGGAGACGCGGCGCTGCTGGACGCTGCTAAGAAAGGCTGCCTGGCTAGGGTTCAAAAGTTATGCAGCCCCGACAACATTAACTGTCGGGACACGCAGGGACGCAACTCGACTCCGCTGCACCTTGCAGGTAAAAAAGCCGCCCAGCCCACACACATTTTTTTTTTTTAAACCTTTTTATCTATAATTACGTCTTAATTTTATCGGTAGAACGAAACACCACATTTTGATAGCACAACTAGCTCGAGCAGTTGACCTACAATGACCTCGTATTACATTACTCGCATAATACGGCTTTTAAAGTCTTGATAGCACAGACAGCGTTTGTCCCCTTAAAGGCAGACAAACTATTATGTATATATTCAAGGTGTGCAATCATTGTGACATCAGTTTCAGAGATAACAGCTGATACACCATCCTGCTAAAGCCCCTCATGGGGATAAACACACACACACAAATGCCTAATGAGATTCACGCTGATCTAATCATCCATAAATTTACATTAAAATTTCACCTTTTAGTACAAACCATGTCCTGAATTATGAAAACACATTATAGATGCAAACTCAAGGCTGAAAATGAGCATTTAGTTTTGTTTAACTCTTTTACATTATGGGTCATACTTTAGAGGTTGCTTTTATCCTGCTTTTGTTCAATTTGGTGCCCTAAAATGTGCATAATTGTGTCAGGAAAGTTTAAAGACCAAAAACTGCTTCCTGTTTCGCCTGCGAATTTCCTTTCTATTATGGACTTTTTGTGTCTTAATACATATATAAACACACTTCTTGCTGCGTGATGATGCAGTATATTTAAATAGAAGAGGTTTTGCTGCATGACTGGCACTTCAGAAGTTAAGAAACTGCTGGAAAACACTTTAAAGGTCTGAATAAATCTGACCACTTAGACACACGCCCACGCACCCTCTGTGTTGATGTGCTTTCTTGTAAAAGGAAAAGATGATTATATGTGCCGTCCCGCTGCCGTGAACGTAGGCTGACATTCACTCTGTCTTTATCATTATTTTGTCTTCTCTCATTAGCTGACTGCGTTTTTATATCTTCCTCACTCATCTTTCTTTCTGTCCTGCTGCGTGGAATCGTCGCCTGTGGCGCTCTCTAGCCGGCTATAACAACTTGGAGGTAGCCGAGTATCTGCTGGAGCATGGAGCCGATGTGAATGCGCAGGACAAAGGAGGGCTGATACCGTTACACAATGCCGCTTCATATGGGGTAAGACACAAACATGACGCTTGCCTTTTTTGCTACCTGTTCATAGTTTCTTTAAAAAGTCTTTTATCTCCTTTAACATTCACTCACTTAAATACTTGAGGCAAGCTGTATATTTATAGTGCATTTGTGTATTTTTTTTATTTATTGTATTCGACTTTTAGAGTAGCAAGACGTACTTCATACTTGAAGCGCAAAGCTGATGGAAATGAATCAAGTTAATTTTTGCATAAAAGTGATTGAAAATCTTTATCGTAAACCTTTTTTAGAATTCGTTCATGGATAAAGGTGTAAATGCATGATGAACATAGATTGATAGATAAGCACACTTGGGTATTTTAATCAATAAAACAGCTCAGTTGCTTATAATCTTTCTATATGCTTCCCTTCACTATATTGTTTTACATACACTAAATTTAAAATACACTATTATTACAATACTTCACTTACTATATGATTTTATTGTGATTTTTAACATTTTGCAATATGCTCAGTATTGCATATATTGCAGTTTATCACCTTTTTTCAACTGCACATTAAGTCAAAATCATCTCAAGAGGTTGTTGTAAAGTTTGACAAGTATGCATATTTTGGATGTTTAGAAAATGTGTAGCACACAGTGTGTGATATTTAACTGTGACGCTGGATCGTACTTACCTAAACAGCAACAATAATGACTATCATCTTTAACATGGGGGGGATATTCGACTGTTGAAGGTTTACATTTGTGCTTTTTCCCTTCATCTTTGGTGGCACAGCGCTCGTAGCTTGTCAGCAGTCTTCTGCTAAAAGAGTCATGAAACACGTGTTTGCATGAAAGCTTGATGAGCTCTGCATTTTGGAAACGCACACACAAACAGTTATACACACTCAAGCATCCCTGACTGTTACTGCAAAACAAGCTACATTCTGTTTGACACCAAGACACGAGCCGTAGACAGACGACGAGGGAATGAGGGAGACGAGTGGGAAAAGCAGGAGAGGAAGGACCGGAGGGAAAAGAAAAATCATGACAGATTTAATAATTCACACGTTTTCTGTTTCACACAATCCTGCAATCCGTTTTTACATGGTTTTTTCCCCTGATCTTAATTTTGTAGCACTCATTCAGCAACACTTCACACATTTGCTCTTGTTAAATGCTTTTATTCGTGCTGCCCTCGCCTCCCCCAGACACCTCCTCACTCATCTGCTCTCATTTTCTACAGTTTTAATTCCTCTCCTCCGCTTTCCTGTTTCTTCTTCTTTATGTCTCCCCGCTACTTCCTCTCCTCTGTCCAGCACGTGGACATAGCTGCTCTGCTGATCAAGTACAACACGTGTGTCAATGCAACCGACAAGTGGGCATTTACTCCCCTGCACGAAGCGGCCCAGAAAGGGAGGACTCAGCTCTGCGCGCTGTTGCTCGCCCATGGAGCCGATCCCACTATGAAGAACCAGGAGGGGCAGACGCCGCTGGACTTGGCCACGGTATGAAAGGATTTCTTGTGGGACTTTTTTTGGGATCTGTCCTAATTTCTTCCCATAACAGTCTTCATACTTATGAGTCAGCACATTGACTTAAATAGACGTTCAGATGGTTATGGTTAACTATTCAGAGAGTTGAGCGCCATAAGGAGAGTTTGCAGAAGTTTAGATGGTGGAACAGACAGCTTTCTAACTCCTCACACCCTAATGAGGTTTCCTAATGAGCTTCCTTACGCGTTTCCTTGTTTGACTGTAGGTACCAAAGTTTGAGAGCCTCCTTTGGAAAACAGCACATCACTGCTGCTGACATCTACAGGCTTGTAACTCTGCTAGAGATAAGAGGAAACGGAGGCATTTGCTCCTCTTCTCACGCTATGCATTCAGTTTATTTATTGACCATTGGATGAAGTCATTAATGGATATAGCAGTCCCAGGAAAAGCCTGGAAAATTTGGCTTGCTCTCATGAAGCTTCGTGACAGTTTGATCCTGTAATGAAAACGTCACACGTGCCATTTTCTAGTTTAGTCCAGATTAGCTTTGGGATAACTTCACAAAGCGTGGCCTCTGACCATGATTGAATTAAGCTTCTTAGTCATTTTCAAGGCATTACACAAAAAAATACAAACACAAGTGCCCTTACAACAAGAAAGTGCATATTTCAGTCAGAAGAAAAGAAAAGACAGTGTCTTATACTCAAAAATAAAGTGATAGATTTGCCAAAAAATCCAGAAAAAGTGTAGCACTACAGTGATTTGCTGCAAAAACACAACCTGGTGTGATCTGTAGATAGTGTGTTCCAAAAATACAAACAAACATACAAAACTAATTCAGAGGTGTCTACATGTTGTGTCTTTGTTGCAGGCTGATGACATCAGAGCACTTTTGATTGATGCCATGCCGCCAGACGCCCTGCCAAGTTGTTTAAAACCACAGGCCACTGTGGTGAGTGTCTGCACACAGTATAGGCACAGATGCTGTCTCTGTGTTGAATCGGATGAAGTGTTAATAGCAGAATTCATATCAGTTTTTAATCTTAAGCTCAATGTAAAGAAAAACGTGCTTTGATTTAAACCTAAACGAAACACCGAACGGACCAGATGTGTGAACATTTTTACGTTTCCATATTTAAACAGACGTCTCACTGACAGAAGTCTTCATTCGAGAGCTGCGTATGAATTTATGTTGTCACATAATTACCAAAATGTGCAAAATCTAGGTTCTGTTTGCAAATCAGTTAACCAAACATTAATTACCAAACCCAGACAAGGTCCGTGCACAGCGTTTAAATAGAAGCTGATTAACTAAAAAAGTGAGCAACGTGAAGGGCGATCAGAGAGGGCATCCTCTGCCAATTTCAGTTGCTCTGGATCTGCACCAAAATTTAATGAGTTCTTCTTGTGCCCATTGCTCCACCCCACGAACGAGTGTTATGACAGAAAAGCAAGTTTCACCTCAGCTGTCATGGCAGAGGAACAGGGAAGGGTATCATCTCTGCCCAACCCGCTCTCTGAAACCCTTTTTCTTAAATCGTTTTTTTAGTTTGTAGATGAGCCTTTTTTTCCTCTGCTAATTACGCCACTGCAAAACATGTTGCATATATAAATACTGATTTAAAAAAGATACAATTTTATTCTTTTATCCACTTTTTCATACTGTGCAGGAGCCCTAAAGAGATAAAGGTAACTGACATGTTACTCAAGGTGACCCAAAGTGCATTAGAGACAGGCACATTCACAATCCAGGTCTCCAAAAATCCGGTTTCATAACACATGAAAAACTGAAGTGTGTTTTGTTGCCTTGAGTAATTATAGTGGAAAGTAAAAAGCACAGTGATTAAGTGTCCATTAAAATGTGGTCATTAAGAAGCTGTCTCGTATGTAAGCTGTCTTTATAGGTTAAAAGTATTGGTATCTGTATTGGAAAAAGCAATATATTTCCTTGGTATCAGATCAATACCAAAATTTGTAGTGTCTCACAGCACTAAACTGAAGGCTTTCTTTATATTAGCTGGCTCAAGAAACCCTAAAGCCCCAGTCAGAGATGGCGGGTATCACAATGATGGTTATCGACTTTCTCTGTTAGGCCCACTTTTTGTTTCAGGCTCTGTACTCGCTCATGTAGAAAAGGGATGTTTCACACATTATGTGACAATCCTCGTGCATAAAATAATTCCTTTGAGTACTGCCTGCTCTGATCAGAGACGTTATGAAATAATGATTAAATGGTGATTAAAAAACATAAAACTATAACAATAAATAAGAGAAGAGATCCATGGTGAAGAGTACTAAAATGTTAAACAAGCATTTTGGTTCCAGTTATTTATTTTTATATCAAAGTGTGTTCCCAGTGCAGCTTTTTCCCCCCCTTATAGCCGTTATATTTACAGGACAGTTAAAGCTGTCCGTACTGTCCCACAGCCAAACAAAGGAGATTTTAAAAACCAGTTTATTTTTCGTCATCAAAGTGAAATTATTCTTACTGACTGAACAGGTGTTCCTGTGTGTGTGTGTGTGTGTGTGTGTGTGTGTGTGTGTGTGTGTGTGTGTGTGTGTGTGTGTGTAACTGCTATTCCAGAGGTGTAAAAGAGACTTAGCAGCTTGATTCTTTACTTAGGATCAATTATAAAAATATATGTGTTATGCATCACATGCACATTCCACTCACAATGCAACTAACAGTTTGCTCGGCTGTAACTTCATGATATAAATAAAAGAATTGGTGAAAATGAGGCACTTCGAGCTGAATTTAAAGTGACACATGCAACATAAGCTGCTCCCAGACAGATTGTGGGTCTAAGTTACCATGGTGATTTAGCCCGGTAAAAAAGAGCCACAAAAAAAATTGACATGTCTCGCTAACGTTTCACACTACACCGCTCTGATGAATGAATGGTCCCCTAGGTAACCTGACCTCACAGTTAGTTTGATTACGATACACCATAACTGCAAGCCCCTGTGAAACCCTACATCATAACCTTGCGTGCATCTCCCGTGAAATGTAACTACACATCAAGACAATCAACATCCATCGTCGCTTCAAGTGGCTGAATGTCACTGATTTTCTGTGGTGTCTGGTTGCCATGTCGCTAGCTTTTTCAATTCACCTCAAGAGCTGAAAGCTCAAACACTCAAAATTGGTGACTAAAGAAAATTTCTATAAAGTCTTACTGAGTCAAAGCAAACCTTCTCCTTCTTACTTTTAGGTAAGTGCCAATGTGGTGAGCACAGGAGCGACAGGGGGTGTGGTCATCTCTCCGTCTCCGTCCCCTTCGTGCCTGTCAGCGGCCAGCAGCATAGACAACCTGGCCGCTCCTCTGAGTGACATCACGGTGGCCGGGGCCACCGGTCCCGCAGATGGAGCGACTGGCTCCGACAGGAAAGAAGGAGAAGGTGGGTGAACGCACAAGAGCGCCCGTTGTACCACGAGTCAAAACTTGTGAAAACCCTGCTGACATCACTTTGTCTCTGCAGCTCTACTTGACATGACCATCAACCAGTTCTTAAAGAGCCTGGGGCTGGAACACCTCCGAGACATCTTTCAGCGGGAACAGGTACACAAACAGCATTTCTGATGTGTCAGACTTTTCAAGCGTGAAATAGGAGGAAAAAAAAGGAGGAAGAGAGGCTGTCGTGAATCCAATCCTGTTTCTAAGCAAAACAACTTCATTGGTCTCCCTCTTTTTTTTGTTGTTACTTGTTGTGTGTGGATCTAAGGATGGCAGGATCTGTCTGCATCCTGTGGTCCACCACTGTTATCCTGACTGTAGTATCACAATTGACATAAAACTTGATGCACACATTTTATGTAGCTGTGGACCAAGGGTGGCCACATGCAGCACCACTTTGATCTTATGTGAACCGAACAAGTGAAACTCCCCTTTCTGTCAGTCTTGATATAAGAAAAAGAAGCCAAATTTCAACAGTATGTCTCACTTTTATCATGACAAAGAAAGCCCCTGTAGTAAATGAAAGAAATCTCTCAGGATTTCTTTTTGGGCTTATGCTGTAAGAACTAAATGTGTAAAATAAGCTATCATTTAATTACTTTAGTGGAGTATGAATGGTCACAGTTGAGGTCTTTATCAGTAGGAAAAGCTGTAAAAAGTTAAAAGTCCAAAATGTCCTCCTTCACATTTTCCAAAGCTATCCAAGGGGCCAGATTGGAGTCTTTGGCTACGTCCACACTAGCCCGGATGAATTTGAAAACGGCGTTTTCGTCTGAAAACGCTGTGCGTCCACACTGTCGTTTTCAGTCGTTTTCACAGAGTTGTGCGTTCACATTGAAACGGCCAAAAACGCTTACGTTCCAGTGCTACGCACGCGTGAAACGCAAGACGATGCGGCCTGCCTCATTTCTGTCTGCCGTTTATTTACTTTCCGGCTCTTTGAAACATCGCAGCAAAATGTTGAGGAAAAGCATCGAGTTAACAATGAGGTGGAGTTGTTGCTGCGAGTAACACAAAAGTACAAAGTTGCAAAAGCGAGTGAGAATTAAAGAATTTGAAGAAAAGCTATCTGAAGCATGTACGGAGTGATATTAATCTTTGATAGGGCTGTCAAAATTAAGCGCAAACAAAACAACTGCTGTGTAATGCCCTCCGCTATCTTAGTTTAATTGGTCACATGACTGCATCACATGACTAAAATGTGTCATAGTTTTCGAAAAGGCTCCGGGTTCACTGTCCACACTGCAATGCGAAAACAGCGTTTTCAAATGTATCCACTTTGGAGAGCGTTTTCAAAACGTCAGTGTGGACAGAGGCCAAAACGGAGAGACAAAGATGCGTTTCCAAACGAAAACGTGTTAGTGTGGACATGGCCTTTGCCAGGCCGATCTTGGCTCCCGGGCCTTATGTTTGACACCGCTGCTGTACACGTAATGAGCTGTGATTTTTTTTTTTTCTTTTTTCTTTTAAGTAGCTCTTTCAGAATTTTAATTTGTCTGGTAATTTTGTCGTCTGTAATTGTTTGATTTATGGTTGCGTATCTTGCAGACCTTCCCATCAGCATTGCGTTTTATTAGCAAGTCAATTAGCAAACACCACAAACATCTGCTTAGCACGCCGGCTTTAGCATTCAGCTCAGAGCATTACCAAATTTGCACATCTTGGTGCTGAAAACTGTGGAAAACAGGCAGATGTATAGAGAGTAAAGAACACAAAGGGAGGCGGAGATCTCCACAGAAGACAGAGAAGAAGGTAAATCAAGACAAAGGGGAGGAAAGAGAGAAAGGTGCTTGAATGGATGAAGATAAAAGAAAAGAGAAGCAGAGACAGAACGGTGAAGGAGATGAAAGAGGTCACAGAACGAGGAGAAAACAGACAGTGAAATAAAGTAACACTGAAAGGTGACAGCTGGTAAAAGGCAGGGTGGAAGCATTGTGGGAGATTCTGTGTGCAGTTAAATTTATTCTTGCCCCCCTCCGCTCCTAAAGGGAAACAAGCCTTCATTAATATTCAAACTGAGAGTGATGCAGAGTGATGGGGTAAGAGTCAGCTGTGTCTACGTTTCTACTTCAGAATGACATGAACAAGAACTCAGAGGTGTGACAAAGAAACAAACATTGCTTCAGCTGACCTGTCACTCGTTATAGACGCCTTTAATTTAGCTGCAGACTTTGCACTTTGCTGCCGTTCAGTGTTCTTGATGAATCGCAGAATAATGGTTTGAACTTTGCACTCTTTGAAGCGTCTTCCTTGTCAAGCCTCACTGTTAACTAGCTTGATGTAAAGGAAGACGTTCAGAGGAGGTTTGCCCAGGGCCTTAATAATGTCTGAGGTCAGCGCCTTAAAGAATAAAAATAGATGTGAAGTTCTCACGTGAGAAGCAGTTTGAATTCTAGTGTTTTTCAAACAGTTTTGTTTAATTTAACCAGTTTTTGGTCCTTTCTTCAAATTGTTTTATTCTGTTAGGGAGATCCGCAAAAGTCAAACGCTATAGTTGACCCCTCCGCGGTGTGACAGGTTTCTGCTTAGCTTATTTCTCCGCGGAGCACGTCGCAGTAAACTCCCAGCAGACTACTCAAGCTGTGATGATTTACACCTGTATCAGTGATCAAGGCAGCGCGGAGGGAAAGTTATCTCTGCCTCAAGGATGAATCTCATTTCTACTCACCCTGAACAAATTCAGGAGAGCGGCGATGACTTCGCCGTCGTCAATTTGCATATCAACTGGCTTGATTACTGCCATCCATTCATTGACCTTTTCTTTGTGCGGCTGCTGTTTTTCATGAATATTTGTCAGACCTATTTTCTCCGCGGTACATCTTAGATCACTGAACTCATCGCTCTTTACAGCGGACAGTTCAGATTATCAGCTTGTAGCATGACCTGCTGCCACTATCGGCACATGACTTACTGTTAAATACATTAAGGCATTGTTAAAGCGATTTTTTTCTTATGACTGTATAACTAGAGGCAATGGGAAAAATAACAAGTGCACTCTTTTTTCTTCTGGTTTTTTTTGCCATCTCTGGGCAGATTTCACTGGATGTGCTGGCAGACATGGGTCACGAAGAGCTGAAGGAGATCGGCATCAACGCCTACGGTCACAGACACAAACTCATCAAGGGCATCGAGAGACTGCTGGGAGGCCAGCAAGGTCAGTATACTCGAAGAGAGCAGCGCACTGAGTGGAAAAGCATTCAAAGGAAGGGGGGGGTTAATAAAACTTGCCAATAAATATTTAAAACAATCAGTTAGACGTATTTCACAATCAATAACATTATATTCTACTAATGTTCAGATATGTTATCCAGGAAATGTGACTCATATTTTATATCTACATGTCAAACACTTGGATTAGATACAAGTAGTTTGTGCCTTGCTGTCTTACACTAATGAAGACTTCTCCTATCACAGAGGTTGGCAGTGATTCGTGATACCTGCTCAAGAGTGTTTTTGACTTGACAAGATGTTGTGAAGTACTTTTTCCTAACCATGAAAGTAACTCTGATCATCCACTTTAGTTATCATTTCCTAAACTCTTTGCTATCTCAACTGATAGGTTGAAAAAACAAATGTAAACCTAATGATGGGCTCTTCACTTGCATCAGCACCTCTTTGGACTTCATCAATTTCCTGGAATCAACACTTGGAATCAACTCAGGATTTTTTATTTGATTAATATGTCATTAACTAACATGAAGCCATGAAACTGATTGTCAGTCAAGTCGAGTCTCTGTGTGTAAAAATGACTGTTGTTCCTGAACAATATAATTTGTATAATTTTCCTTTACCTTTTTAATGAAAATTTAGTTGAATTAAACATCTTGATCTCTCTCTTGCAAATATTTGCTCATAGGTGCAAACCCATACCTGACGTTCCACTGCTCCAGCCAGGGCACCATGTTGATCGACCTGCAACCGGATGACAAGGAATTCCAGTCTGTGGAGGAGGAGGTACGCAAACGCCCCTTTAAGCACATGTAACCTACACACGACACTGACCACATTTAAATTCATAGCACCTTTTTTTTTTTTTAATCTTACCACCTGCATGAATTTCTTTCAGTGTGAAACAACATTTATTCATTTGCTTGAACAGTAATTTCAACCATGTGCCTAAAGACACATCACGCGGTGTCACAGCAGCCAGCTGAACGAGAGGTTTCATATCTGTGGAGCTGCTCCACTGCCTGCATTGCTCTCGTAATTGAGAAGCCGCGATTGAACGAGACAGCCGATATCAGTGTGAATGAGCTGAAATTAATGAGAACCGTCACATGTTAAAAGAAATTTAACAGGTAATTTCATCTGTAATTCTTCCTCGACAACTTGACAAATGACAGTCATGGAGTCTGGACTGATTTGTTTTTTTAAATACCAGAAGGAAAGCAGATGAAATATTTTTACCTACAATTATTTTGCACACATTGTTTTTGCTGTATTATGCCACATTTCCCCACAGGCACTGTGAAGCCATCTACTCTTGATTGAATGAGCTGCTGCTTTCCTCTCACACTTTATAGTCATTTTAACTTTTCACATCGAGTTAACAATGAGGTGGAGTTGTTGCTGCGAGTAACACAAAAGTACAAAGTTCTGGTCTGTCATCTCTGTGGGCAACTGCAACTGACAAATAAAGGCTATCTCATCTCATCATCTCATCTCATTTTAGAAATCTGAGGGAAAAAAAGTTTAGTGTTTATGATGATTCATTGTTGTTATGTTTGATGATTTCCTCCTCAGCTACAGAGCACGATCAGAGAGCACCGCGACGGAGGCAACGCAGGCGGGGTCTTCAGCCGCTACAACATCATTAAAGTATGACCTAAAAAACACATCACACTTTACAAATACAGAAATAAGTGATTTTTATTTTCTTCCCTCCTTTAAAGCAAAAAAAGAAAAAGCAATCTGGACATAAATTAAGCATTTTATGTGTGCTGTTTCCCTCCTCTCTTTCCTCTGACTGCAGATTCAGAAGGTTGTGAATAAGAAGCTGCGGGAAAGATACACACACAGACAAAAGGAAATTGCAGATGAGAATCACAACCACCACAACGAGCGCATGCTCTTTCACGGTAAATAAACACTGTGCGTGTGGTAAAATATGAAAGCATGCTGAGCTTCTTTAAATATAGTCCTGCTGATTTACTTTTTTATGCTGAAATGCTCTGACAAACATTTGCACTCCTGTAATGAATATTTGTGAAATACATTTGACTCATGTACCAAAAAAAGGAATTAACTCTTCCAACAAACACAGCTAAGCACACGAATCCAAAATTGGATTATCTCAGTATAAGACAGTTAGTTAAACTTAGTATTACTCTTGCTGTGAATCCATCATCAAGTGGACTAGAAAAAAAACCCAATTCATCCCCAAAAAGGGGAGTAGTTTTGAATTTTACTCTAGTTAACGGTGTTGTCAGCGCCCTGCGGGGTGGGCGGGGAGTATGGACACCCAACATTTTGAATGCGATACCATACATGTACCTACTGGGAGGCTGAGACAGCTACCAGTATTTTATTTTCCTTTTATTAATGTTTTTGGAACTTTTGGTATCATGAGATGGTACCTGCATCCCTTTCAACTTGCATAGATAGTCCAGCCCATACATGCCATCACAAGATGGTCTGCTGTGTCTTCCAGCACAAGTCTCAGGAGTGTGTTGGAGATACCAAGAGACAGGTTTTAACACAAGGAGAGCTGCAGGACTACTGTCTGCTCTTTTGATCGATGAGAAACAGAAGAAGCACCACTAGAGCCCCACAGAATGACCTCCAGATGGCCACCCATAAGCATATTTATCACATTATCTGTCAGAAACTGACTTCATGAGAAGGGCCCAACATCCTTTATTGGAAGGGGTAATCACAGCTCAGTGCAGCTCAGTTGTCATTAGTTGTCATAGTCTGGCTGTGCTGGACTCTGAGCGCATGTCCCAGTAAAGGATGTCGGGTCCTCATGCTGTGCTCATGGCATTCTGATGTTATGGGGGTCAGAAACACACACGGGTAGCCCGTTGGACATCTTGTCGTAGGGCTCTGGCAGCGCTCCTCCCTTTCCTCCTCACATAGTATTGGACCGTGAAAGTGCTTATTATTGATTGTGTGATAACTCTGCTGCAGTCTGACACATCCACGTCGGCGCTGCGGCATCGACTACAAACATTACACCAGATCCATTTAACCTGCAGCGTTTAACTGTCATACAGCATTTTGGAGAATAGGAGCACGCATACCATTCAGTTTTGGATGATTTCTACAGACACTGAGGCTAACATGGTGGCAGGTTTAACCACGAGGTTAAAATTTAGACAGCATAAAAAAGGTCCATAGGTTCAACTCTACATGAGTTCCTGCAAAGACTTAAAAGAACTGCACCGCTCAAAGGTATCCGACAGCTCCTGATATCTACTTTAAAAATCAGTACATGAGCTGATGTGGTGAATCAGTCGATGCACCTTAAATATCTGTGACAGCTTTGGCTGTCAGCATGCCGTCCTCTAAAGCTCAAAAAGATGAATTAACCGGAGTATGTGAAATGCATAAATTCTGTTTCCTTACATGGAGGGAAAGTAAGGAAGCGCCGCACTCTGCACTTCCTCAGTCCTCTCCTAGTTTCATAGTTGTCTTGAGGACTAAGGTGCTTTGTAATTAACCGTAATATTATCTTTCTTTTTAACTGCCGTAGAGTGGAATCCTCCCAGTTTCTTAGCTCAGTTTCCAGTACGCAGTACGCTACCTTTTCTGGCATCTTCAGAGTCTGCTGTGATCTTTTATGTATTACTCTTGTATCTGAAGACATTTCTGATGCAGGCATCACTGTCAGGACAGACATGCTCACAGTGGAGGCAGCTGAATATTTTGTGTCATTTCTCACTTTTCGGGCCTTCCAGGTTCTCCCTTCATCAACGCAATTATCCATAAGGGCTTTGATGAGCGTCATGCATACATCGGAGGCATGTTTGGCGCTGGCATCTATTTTGCCGAGAACTCCTCCAAGAGCAATCAGTACGTGTATGGGATCGGCGGAGGAACAGGTTGTCCAACCCACAAAGACCGCTCCTGCTACATATGTCACAGGTGGGTGCTCACATCGGCCTGAGCAGCTTTAGCGAGATCTTTTTCGTTTCTTAAAATATTCTTGAAATAAAAATTGCCTTACCGAAAGATCAAATAAACTGATTTTATCGATTCCATGGTGTGCGTCTGTGTGTTTGTTTGCAGACAGATGCTGTTCTGTCGGGTGACACTCGGTAAATCATTCCTTCAGTTTAGTGCAATGAAAATGGCCCACGCCCCTCCTGGTCACCACTCCGTAATAGGACGACCCAGTGTCAATGGTCTGGCGTATGCAGAGTATGTCATCTACAGAGGGGAGCAGGTTGGTACACACAGAAAAACATTTTTGCCTTCTAAATTTCAAGGTACTTGGAAGTTTGAGTTACTAAGTCCAACTTTTGAAATTTGGACATAATAACTCATGCAAAAAATGTATGTATTTATTCATGTTTTTTCAGCGGCGGAAACAAGCTTTTAGTGAGTAGTGGCAAGTCTTTGCAGACATTTGGCATCTTCCATGCAAACTGTTTGCACAGTTGTGACCAAAGTAATCGTAAGGACCTTGTCAATGCAGCACCACAGCCAATTTCACCCAGTAATGGCAAGCAACCCGAACTACTCACTCACCAGCCTTTCAGGCACATTATTACTGTCATTCCCAATGGGAACACTGACCAGTCTCTAGCATGGATGTCACAATACCAGGAATTTACTAATTGGTACCAGTAGAATTACATGATTCTTGATACCAAACCTATAAGGGCAGCAGCACCAGTTGCCATCTTCTTATTCTGCATATAGCCACTTGTAGCCGTATGCTGCCCCCTACAGTTGTACCTCAGTACATACACTGCCTGGTACCCATGGTACCAAGTAAGAACTGTCATGTTTTCAGAATTGTGGTATGAAATGGTGACCATGTGACTGGGGCTTTAGCAACCAATCATAAGCACTCAGAGAATTATAATTTTTTTCCTAGCGAATGGAGGTTGCCAGGCAGTCGCCAGCTGGTCTCTAGGCCCGTGTGACTGGGTGTTTAAATCCTCAAAAGGACCAACACTGTAAATTCCAAAAATCCTCAGCATACACACATTTGAAATACTTACCCAGCCTTTAAAAGATCATACTTAATTTACTTTGTCTTTCTTGTAGTAACCCACGTTTTTTTCCCTTGCACTGAAATCATAACAGTTTGTTTGACTTTCATGTATTCTTTGTCCTCAGGCTTACCCAGAGTACTTGATCACCTACCAGATTGTGAAGCCAGAGAGTCTGGCCACGCCTGCTGCCACTGCTGAGCAAAAGTCCTAAAGCACAGCTGGGTGCCAAGTTAGCCAGACTGTAGTGGACAAATCTCTAAGAGGACCAGAACTGAACAGTAAGGAGTTTCAAACCTCAGACCTTCAAAGTCTCTGGAGCTGGGGGTGGGTGACACGAAGCATCGGCTGGCCAGGAGTCAGATGACCCTCAAACGTGGAAATAAGGAGGAAGAAGAGACGGTGTCTTTCAGTTTTTTGGGGTTGTAATACAGGTTCAGTCCAAAAGGAGCAGACAGTAATAATTAATCATTTGAGGAGAAAATGGAAACAGTTTCATCAGTATTAATGGAAGCTGTTTTTGCAGGCCCTGTGGCTTTGATCTCAAAGTGAAAGCAATTACCACAAAAAAAAAAAAAAAAATCTAAAACAAACAAAAAGCTGTTTTGTTTTTTGGCACCTTTGCACTGCTCCTGTATTCTAGCCCCAGGCTTTAATGTGTTTTTTATATTATGTCCTCTTTTTGCTTTGCGCACACACCCACAACATCAAAACAATGCTCCAACGCCACCTCCAGATGCATCGAGAGAACGGAAATTCAGCACATTTCTGTGTTGTCGCATTTTTACCGGAGGCCGATATAAAGGAGAAGCCACAGGAGGAGAATATGGAATGAGATGAAACGCAGAGAAGCAAGAGAATCGTTGATATCAAAAAGCAAATAAAGCTGCTGACGGGACCTGCTGCAGACTTTCCACTACAGTCCACACCGGGACCAACCACCACCTTACACCCGCAAGTCAGTCAGACCAAACCTGCTCGTTTCAGATCCGCAACATATCAAGCTCATACACTGAAAACCACATGCAGGCTCATCAAAATATAAAATTGGGATCTTAGCTCTCCGGGAAGTTAAGTTATAAGAAGCATGACAGGCTGAGACACCTGTGACAAGCCAGCTAACCTAAACATACCTCTTATTTTTCTCAAATATGCCACCAAGAATCTCGTTTCAAGAACTGATTGCTGCCTTTGTAGTATCACAGGAAATTTGCAGTCGTTATAGGAACTGCATCCAGAACTGCCATGTTGTTTCAGCCCAGTTCTGATTAAAAACCAGTCTTAGAGCCATGAGGATCACAGACGATTAAGGCTATCATACGCATAAACTACTCACCTGCCAGTTTATTAGGCGCATCTAGCCAGTAAAAGTGCTCAAATGAAATCCTGCTTTCCGTTACACCCACATTGTTTTATACCTTTAAGTGGTACTGTCATTTTTCTGGGAGCACCTGCTAACCTGCAAACTCAGTGTGTTGCAAACAGATTTGTGTATAAGCTTCATTTCCAGTTCATTTGGGTTAAACTTCACTCAGCATTCAATAACAAGACAGATAAAGGATGAATTTGTGTCTGCAGATGGCACGCTTGCTTTCTGCTGCTGTCCAGTTTTGTTATTTCAGTCACTGGAAAAGTTGAATGTATGCAGTAGAAGAGATGTGGCGTCCTTTAAAGTCTCACTTTAAGCAAGCCTGATGGTTTGGGTAATTTTTGTTTTGTTTTGTTTTTTTGGGGGGGGGTTCAGCTAATCACACAATACTACTGTCACTGAAGTATCTTAATGTCACTGACACGTTCCCACATGTGGTCATTTCAGTTCCTTTCCATTCCAACTTTTACTGTTGATGCCCTCTAGTGGTGAAACAGACAAATTGCCAGCTTGCAGTACTGTGTTGAAGGCTATCAGAGAGGCATTTATTTTTGATTTTGTTTAAAAGTACCGTTCCCCCCCCCCCAAATTTCAGGCAGTTCTTTGTTTGTTTGAAAGACTTCATGCTCCTCTGTTTACACTCCTCAAATGTGAAAGTGTCACTGTACTGTAAACTGTTTTCATACTTCAACCCTGAACTTTTTCTAGTCTACACTAGAGTGTCTGCTGCAGTTGGATTGGATATTAAGCGTGTATTTAACTTGCCGGCATGATGTCAGATTGCATCAACGTGTGACTGGGGGCAGGGCTTTTTGGGGGGCAGGGTGGAGGAGTTAGAGCCGGTGATCTTCCTGCCTCCTGCATACTCCACCCCAGGCAGCTGGCTGGCCTTAATCACATCACACAGAGCAGTTCCAGTAGTGAGGACACAACCGAACCTGATTGTGCTGATATTTTCTGGCATTCCTGTGTAGAAACAACTTAATGAGGCGTCAGCAGCTGGAGCCTGCAAAAAGAGTCTTTTTATATGATGATGAGGCTGATGGATACGTTTCATGTCAAGATGAAGTATGACGCTCATGACTAAACACCAACATGTTACCATTTCTCTCAGAAAGTACTATAAGCTCAAGGTTTTCATTTTTTGTTTTGTTTTTTTGTTGTTGTTGTTTTTTAACTGCAATGACTACGTGTTTTTCTGTTAACGGGTCTTTATTTATAACCTTTAAATTCCCTATAGATCATGGGGAGGGACCACACATGAATGTAGCTGTATGCTTTTATTCACCTCTGGTCATGTCAGGTGAAACGCAGCAGGGCTGATGGTCTTTGAAATCGAATGCCTTTAATGAGACAGTTGGAGTGAAAGCACCGGGACGGTGATTCTGACCATTATGGAGTTCACCTCAATCAGGAGAGATGGTTCATGTCTCCTGACCTCTGTTAGTGGTAAATTTGAGGGTAAAACAAATGAATGTTAAAGTGGTCCTATTGTGCTTAATGCTGTTACAGTGCTGGATGGGCAAAGTTTCGAATAATGGAGGTCAACATATATGCAAGTAGGAGCGCACAGCTTTGGTTATGAACAGAGAAGCTCCACCCACTGGCTGTATAAACCTTCTGTTAGTGAGGGGCTGCCAATCAGAAGAAAGGTTGCTTGGCTTGTTTTAGATGATGGATGAACTCAAGTGCTACACCTAGGCTCAATATAAGATCAATAAAATTACTTTGAACTGTCAATCACATGAGGTAACACTATTAAAGTCCAAGAATATAATAAAAATAAGCACAATAGGGCCACTTTTATTTCAGATTTTTCTTTTTTTTGACTTGCAAGCCTGAATTAACTCTGTTGAACTAAACACACTGTAGCTGACCCTCAGAATAACAAATGAAACCTTTTTTGGGTGTCCTCTTTCAAGTTGTGACTTATTGACTAATTCATAGTGTAGGTAGGTTATCACAGTAGAAGAAATTATTTGTGTAACTGCGAATTGGGAAAATGAAAATGAAATGACTAAAATGGGGAAAATTGAATGAGGAGATTGAAGAAAAGATGAAATGAGGAAAACATTTCAAAAAACCTGAAATTAAACTGAAGTGAAAAGATGTTTTCAGTGGAGAATTGAGGTTGCTTCGCTGGAACAAAATGAAAGGCCCTCGTGTAAAGCCTGTTTTTTGTACTTCCACCAGAAGCTCAATTAAAGTTTGAGTGAGTGTCTGTAGTACACAGTTTTTAGATAAAACGGCAGCATCGCTGTCGGCTGCCTTGGTACTGACCTCATTAAGGCCGGCAGATGTTAATTTATGATCAGAGGTCTGTGGGCATTGCTTGAAATTGGAATGTAAATAAACTAAATCCAGATGCACCTTTTAGCGGGTCTTTCATGATTAAATTTTAGTTTATTTTTCCCTCCTTTTTTTATGTCATAACCTTTTGAATTTTAATTTTAGCTGGTCTCTGTTCAGTGACCAACCTTGCTGTAAATAGATTGGAGGGGGGAGCGTCTCTTCAGTCAGTCAGGTGTTGTCTAGCTGTCTGAGCTGCCTTCTACCAGAAGCCACTGGTTTCATTATCATTTCATTCTGTTACATTTGACCTCCTGTTGTACAGATGGTTGTACAGATGTGCTGCTGACCAGCTAACATGTGGAACAGAGAAACTCCTTCATGACTATACAGAAGAAAAATCCTTAATAAAAGAATTTAAAGTGTCCTTTTGTTTTTATTTCATTGTGATCTTGAGTTCAGTTAGATACTAAACTGCATGGTAACACAAATATCTAATTAGTCAATCACATGGCACCAACTTAGTGCATTTAGGTATGTAGACATGGTCAAGACGACCTGCTGAAGTTCAAACTTGGCAACAAAGCGACTTTGTTGTTGTTGCTAGATTGACTGGTCTAAGTGCTGATTTTTCTCTAAATTTAACATGAACAATGCATGCAAATGAACGTCAGTATGAAAATCTATCTATCTATCTATCTATCTATCTATCTATCTATCTATCTATCTATCTATCTATCTATCTATCTATCACATAATGGTTTAATATCAGAGACACAAATATACAGCAAAAAAGAAACGCAAATAACAAATCAGACAAAAAAACTCAAGTATGTGTTATTCCAGAATGGAAGGGTGGTTAAATAAGGATGGCAAAAAAAAGTTATGTTGACTGGTGATTCTATGGATTTATTGTTTCTCATGCTAATGAACAAGTGTAGAAAATCAGTGTAGAAACATTCTAGCTGCATTGTCCATAAGGAAAGCTTAATTTGCCTAAAATTCTGTAGCTTTTTACTGTGACATTTAAATGTTATGGAGTCCAAAGTGAGCCCAAGATATTGGCGGAACACAGAGTGTGTCAACTCAGCCTAAGAAGAGAAAACTGAGGCTGTATTCACACAGGTTCATTAAAATGAGCTCATTGTCTCAAACTGGTTTCTTGAAAAAAGACCGGACGTAAACTGGGAGTGGAGCTAACAAATCTGCAGCAACTTCATGATCCTATCATATCTTTATGGACCAAAATCTCTGAATGTTTCCAAAACAAAGAATGAAGGTAGGCGTGAAGGAACAAAAAAAAAAAAAAAAAACCCCAAAAAACAGGCCTGACCTGCCATTAATAAAGTGTCGAGTGCTGACACACCAGAACTGAGCACGATCTCTAAATCTCAAATGTTTCGAAGTTAAATCAACTTTGTATCATTTCTAAATCACCAAGAAAAGAAGAAGAAAACAAGAATACTGATAAAAATACAGGCTTCAAAGTGGTAATTAGCTAAATGACTCATCACATCCACATTCATCATATTTACCCCCCCAAAAAAACCAAACCAACAACAACATTACCCAGAAAACTACTTGAGTTAAGGTCCTTCAAATTTGGGGAGTAAATACTTGGTACTATGGCTCTTTGAACATGGACTCTCAGGAGTGTAGCTCAAGCTAAAATTAAATAATGAAACCCCCGAAACATTTGGATGTCTGATCTCTGCAGAAACCACAATTTTGCAACTTCTCCTACACAAAGCACATACATTTCAAAGGTTTGTACTGTGAAAAGAGAGAACACCATCACATATTCTGGATGCAATACTGTCAGAAACTTTCTTTAAAAAAAAAAAAAAAAAAAGTTCTTTTGGATTTGCTAGCTGGAGTAACTTTTTTTTTTCCTTTTCAACCTTCAATGTCTGTAAAACTGTTCACCTGATCTGGACTCTTTGAACCTTGCAGTGGTAAATGTATCGTTTCAGACGAGATTTTGTGCAAATTAATATTTAATTTCTTTTTTTATTATTATTTTATCAGTGCGTGGCATTTATGGCTTTATGGCATTTTATTTGATGGGTCAAGCTTTAAAGGGTGAAAGAAAAAAAAAGTACCTTCCTTGTATACAAGAAGATGTAAATGAAACATCAGACCCCTTCTTTCAAAATTGTGATTTCTGCAGGCCTCCAAATATTTTAGGCAACTGAAGCATCCATCATTCTATGTTCAGCTGTGCCACAATCCTGAGGGTACCAGATATTCACCTCTAAACATTTTGAAGGACCTAGGACAATTCATTTTTTTTATTTAAAAAGATGTTAGAAAAATGTTTAAAAACAGCCCTACCTTCATTTCTTGAGACATATTTAAGAAAATAAATTACAGTAATGAAAGAAGTGTATCTTTTCCCCCCTCCCGTTTTGTCACTTAAATCTGAGTCAGGGGGAAAGTGATGATCTGACATGGAGGGATCCTAAAGGCATGGCATCACAAATTCCTCATTTTGAACCTATGGGCTGTATCTGTCTGCAGGATGACTCCACATAAAAGAACGAAGTAGCCATCCTACTGCTTCAGACAGTACACTACTTGCATAATCAAGCTCAGAAAGACGGACACAGATTTGGCACGGCGGTTACGAGTGGCGCTCAGTCAGTGTGAAGGAGATTGCTCAGCGTCTGCCTCCATGGACAGAGTCCAAACAATAGACCTTTCTTGCTCTTCAGCACAAAAACTGCAAATTAATACAAAAAGAAGCCTGGTGACTATCTGAAGCACAACCTTTTGGCAAATGGAGTCCAGCATTTTTGACGTGATCCTCCCCAAGACTGCCACAGTTAATGTTTAGGCCCAATGCTGAATCGCAGAGGTGAGAATCACAGGATGTGAGCAGCTATTGTGCAAAATGAGAGAAAGAGAGGACTTTGAATGCCAGAGGACAAAAGAGATATTCCAAAAGGATAATGATCCAAAACATGCTGCCAAAATCACTATGACATCACCAAATATTCGCGTAACATCTATCATCATAAATAAATAAAGGTCAAAGTCAAAAGTATCGAAAAAGTAAATGATTTTTATCATACATAGATCAGCTCAAAGGTGATAACATCTAGAAAGTGCAATAAAACTCAGCCACAAACTATCACGCCTTTAAATGACAACAAAGTTGAATCAACATTATTGATCACCTGACATTTTATTGCAGGGCTCTTTCATTGGTAATAATTCAGAATCAGAATACTTTACAAATCCCAGAGGAATTTATGCACATTTCAATTTCAAAGTGCATACTGTATACCTCCCTAAAGCCCCAGCTGGATTATTTGTTTCACACTTATGTGCCACTGCACCATTTTACAGCCCGCTTTAATGAACGTAACACTAAATCAGAGTCCCAAACACAGACTGTATATAAAAGGTGGATGTGGGCACTGCGGTTTCTCGTGTAAAGTCATGCACACATTGCTTTGGAGTTGTCCACCATACTAGATGTGATACAACCATTGGTTGCCAGGGGAAAACTACATATTCCCTGATTGGTTGGCAGTGGTTCCTGGAGGTTGTAAAGTCAAGTTCAAGGTAAACGTTATTATCCCCAAGAGGCAATTTGTAGTACAGCCAGCTGCAAACATGCACACACTACCTAAAGTCAAACAGACACAAACATGCAAAAAGCAACAACACAGCATTCTCATTCAAAACACCAATAGCAGCAGTGACAAAAAGAATAAGTACTAGATCAGTGGCAATACATTTTTT